ATCCACAAATGGTTTACATGGAGTTTATAAACCATTTTGGATTCTCCTGGGGAATCCCAATTGACAATTAGAATGTTGGAATTTTCATTTGTAAGAAGTGATGACTGTCTAAATGGCTAAGAAAGTGAGCTCCTGAACAACAGCCCAGATCTGGAGAGAAATAACAAGTGTGGTGAACCAAAATCATAATGTCTTTTGAGCATCAATTAGTTGGACTGGCCAATCCTAAATTTGTAGAGGGAGCTAGAATATTTTTTAAAAGGGAAATAACAAACATTTATGTTTCCAAACGTTTAATTCCCACATTAATATTCAACTGAAAATGTGAGTCACTTTGAGTTGGTTATAAGATGGCTGGCTATACAAATGTTTTAAATAAAATAAAATACATAATTATAAGTGCACATTCAAAATATCTGTACATATGTACTGCAAATCAATGTTAAAAAATAACTTGAATAAGAATACATGAATATTTGAATAGCCTCCCCTTCAAGAATGTTATCAGTAAATAAGAAGCAGGAAGAGGAGTCTGGTGAACTTCAGAACTCACTAGACAACCTCCAGAGTGTCTAATGCCACTCTTCTGGCACCTCTTTGTATGTAGTACACTCAGCATATACTGTATCCAGAAGAGATAGCTCAAGGAAAGGTAATTAGATTTAAGTGATGAAATAATCCAATACAGAATCATAGCTGCATTTGGAGTTTGTTAAGCATCTATTGTCAACCACAGTAAAAACAGAAGACCAGGCACTTGAAATGAACATAAATGTTTATTGCAAGTGTATGCTCTCTATCAGAATTTGAACTACTAACTGTCAAAGCAAATTGGTGGCAGAAAAGAGTCAATGGAATTCATGGTGGGCTGGGCTTAGAACTTGTGGGTGCGAAGGGACTCAGGATGGATGACACGTTGGACCTCTCCCTTGCGGTTGCCCTGCTCATCTCCTGGCACTTCATGGATACAATAAGTAATTTGCAATTTTCTTCTTTGGTTCAAAAAAATGCCAATTAACTTGCCCAATAGTGGTAGAAGGCAGGTATCAATACCATAGGTGGAATTACTTTGGATAAGTAAAGGAATATGACATTGTGCTGCATGCTTCACCCCCCGTTTAGTTATTCATGGATTGTTGCAGTGCAGATAGAAAAGGAGCAAGGCTAGTGTCACAGCAATGCTTCTATCAGTTTGTCTCCGCCCCCCACCCCCACCTTTGCTCCCCATGCAGATGCCACTGCTTGGTAAATATTCACTACAAATCAAGTAGTTATGGGGGAGGAGGAAAATCATATATCTTCACTATGGTTGAAAACAGTAACACAAACACCCACATCCAAATACTGTTGCTATAATGGTGGTTTGAACTGAAGCAAAAGGTGAAATCATAGCCAAGAACATGCACAATGATAACTTCCTACCCAAAAAATTGTGCAGCACTAGGATTTTTGCTCTGTGCAGAAATGTGTGTGATGCAGCAAGATTATGAACTTAAACTTGTATGAATATTTGTTAGAATAAATGAACAATAATTAAGTGCATAGTTGAATGAAAGGTGAAGGAGGTGAATGCAGAGTTGAGAAGGATGGACTATTTTCTTAATATGCCAGTTTCTCTAAATTCTTGTTTCTTTCTTCCAACTTTATGCCATATTTCAAACATGCTTGAAAGGAAATAGTTTGCAGATAATTTGGATTGGAGAAAGGAGGGCAGGGAAGGGTGTGGATAGCCTCTTCTCTAAGAGTTCTAACAATGATTTTTCCTTAAAAGAGAAAAAAGCCAGAAGACATATTTCACATAATGTAGAATTAGGCCATAAGACTGAGGATAAGAAGAACTGTGCCAGTCTGGAAAAAGCCAAAAATATTCTGATACTTCAAAACAGTGAGTTTACAGAGACCTAAACTCTCTAACCTACGTCATTAAACACAAAATGGACTGAGTAGGAGAGTATAACATACACAAGCTGAAGTACTATTGGAAACAGCAAATAACTTTTTAGTGAAACACAAGCCAGGCCAACTGGCAATTCTGGAAAATGTAGTCCTAACACCAGTGGAGAAATGTTTTTATTATGCATTACTAATTATTGCATCTACTCTTGAATCTGAAAACATGCTAAATTTCAGAACACATTCTGACTTAAAATGCTGTAAAAATGAACAGTTGTTTTTGAGGAAAAAACCTATTTTGATATAGTATACATAAACACATTTGCTTATGGTACTCTGAAACATCTTTCTCTAGTGATAATGTAACTACTTTTTAAAAAGAAGTTCATGCATGCCACCTGCTGTCCCAGTTTTGAATACCTTTTTCTGCCACGATTTAAAGTTGCTTGTTAGCAGCAGCAGTTACAAGGGCAATTTCATTTATTTGTACAGGAACAGAAATGTATCAAAGTCTAAAAAAGTACTGTATGGAAAGTTCAAACTCTTCCAGAAATATCCAACTTCAATTAATTCATATACTTTTAATGATAATTATGTTCTTTAAGAACCAATCATTTATTTAAGACAGATTCTAAAGCAGAGGAAGAGCCCAGTTTTGGCAAGATATGATCCATATATTGGAATCATATACTTATATGAGGAGGGAAGGGTTTGTCACTCAACGCCTGATTCATTTTAAAGAAATGCATATAATCATAGGGTATATAGCAAATTGTTAAAAGGCAAAGTCAGGATTACTCCACAGTCCATCAATGTCTGATGGTAGCTTTCTCCTTTGCTTGTTTAAAGAGGGCTTATAACACAACCATTTAGTTTAGTAAAACTGCTTCTGAACCAGATCAGACTTTATACCAATGACTCAGTTTAGACTGGGTTCATTTATTTAAGAAGATTTAAAAAGTCTGGGTAGCAGATGAAATTTAACTTCCATGAGTGTTGCATAAACTTTCAACATAGGTAAAATTCCAGTAGGATACCCACAATTTGTAAATATCAGTTATGCAGTAAAGAAACATTATTCCACCAATCTCTTTCTTTGCTATGAGAAGAGTTGCAGTGCCAGAAGGCATTGAAATTATATTAAATAGATTATCAAATAGTTGTTGTTCCATGCAACACTGATTCCTATTGAGCACAATATTAGTACAACTATATTTCAACTAATGGTATTCCTCCTTATCCTGTCAAACTGATAATTTTTGTAATAAGACTGAGGCAATAGGGATATGAAAAAGCATTTGTTTTGTGGATTGCAGGCAGTATAGCATTTATAAAATTATTTTACCTAAACCTAGAGTCAGGAAATTCAAAATACAGTAATTAAAAAACACTGTGCTAGATGGTTCTTCACATACTTACAGCAGAATCATGAATACATCAAATAAGTTTCCAAATCACGTTGAACTTAAATGTCTGAAACTGTATCTGAACAGCAGGCATGCTTACATTTTTTTAGTATTAACTTGGTGTTTTTCTACTCTCACCAAGTCTGATAATATACAAATGCAAAAAACAATTCAGTAGTAATACTAAAAAAGTTTGCTCGTTATTGCTGATTTAACTTTTTGTTGCTGAAAAAAAACCCAGAGGGTTTTTTTCTTGTTTTGCTTTTTTAAAACAAAAATGCTTTGACTTTACTTAATTAAAAAAGGCCCACTGTGTTTTTAGAAGGACAATTTGTTTACTGCATACCACACATGTGCTGCTAAATTATACAGTACTCACAACTATGTCTTTTCCCCCTACTTAAGGGCAATTTTCCTCCAAAGCAAAGTTTCTGACCTTGTGTTCCGAGTACGGCATTTATCAGCAGGCGTATTGCCCAACATAACATTCCCACAACACAGGATTTGAGACTTATTCACTATTGCTTCTTTACAATACTCCACTTCTATTAGCTGATATATTAAGAAAACCAGTTTTCCCACTGAAATGATTATGAAATTCAATTCAATGCAATTGCTATTCAACGTATAAGCTTTTTTTCCTATGCCATACAAGCTTTTTAAATAGTAACTACATGAAAAAAAAATACTATTCACTATGGTTTTGGAAATATGCTACATAAATTATGTTTTTATTATTTAGGAATTAGAGATAGCAAAATATTATTTCCACTGAGAAATCCATTGTAATTATAGATTCAGCCTTTATTGATATGTTGGAATAAAAAGGATGCTTAAATGTAGATTAAAATAATCTATATAAAGCCTCTAATAAATTCATCTACAGAATTCAGTTACTTAATCAAGTAGGATTGCACATTTTTTACCATTAGAAAATATAGAAACTTCTTTGCATGTAGCTTGTGCATGCAGGCAGAATTATGTAAAATTCTGTAAACCCTTTCTCCAATTGTGGCTTTACCTACATGCTTATCAGTGGTGGAATTCAATTTTTTTTACTACTGGTTCTGTGGGTGTGGCTAGGTGGGTGTGGCCATGTGATTGGGTGAGTGTGAATTTTTTGCAGCATCCCACCCCATTTTTTGGGCCTTCCTGGCCTCAGGGGAGACTCTGGGGAGTGTTTTTGCTTCCAGAAGGTTCCCCTGGGTCTCAGGAAGGCAAAAAATGGAGAGGCGGGGTGTGTGCTGCTATGCCCCCTCCCTCCATTTTTTGCCTTCCTGGGCCTCAGGGAAGCCTGCTGGGCGAAGCAGTAAGAAGCGAGGGGAATCCCGGCACAGCTCTTCATAGGAACAGCTGATTGTCAGAAGGTTAAAAAAAACATTAAGAAGTGACTGGGTGGGCGAGCATCGGGCATCAAGCAGGTGGGGCAAGTGAGTGACTGAGCGACCTGGTTGGGAGCACGGCCAGCCAGAAGTTACTACCAGTTCAGCGACCCACGCCAAATCCTTGCTACCGGTTCGCAAGAACCGGTGTGAACCAGCTGAATACCACCACTGATGCCTTTGGATGTGCAAATACAATCTCTAAAAAGTGAAACAGTGAAAAAAATGCCCCCTGGTATTATAATGGTAAATAATATTAAACTCACATCTTTCAAATGTATTTTCATTAAAATTCACACATTTGAAATTATTTTATTCATTTTATTTGTATATGTCAAAATACATTTTTTTTTGCAAAATAGTGGGTTTTGCAAAGTTTCATGCAGATGCAAGGTCTGCTCAATACTACCAATAAAATCAATGCAACACAGTAGCCAGTTTTGAAAGAATAAATAACCTATATATAAAAACACTAAAATATTAGAGACATATTTAATCATTCACAGGCATCCAAAACATTACCAAATATAATCCACAGTATGCCCAACCAATCCACAACATTTCTCAGCATGTTGCAGTTACTCAGATAGAACAATTCTCTGCTTGGTTTGTTTATTAGCTTAAGAGCATGAAAGACCATGTCCATCTTTAAAGTTATAAAGATCTAACCTGTAACAAGATACCCCAGAACTATCCTCGTACTGTACCTTAGAATCAAGAATCCTGAGCTTGGTAGTAAGAGCAAAATGTTACAACATCTTCAAAAAAAAAACCTCTTCCCATTCTCACATCTGCCCAGCCCACAAAGGGAACTTAGGTCAACCCGATCCTTCTTCTTTCCACCCCAAAATGAAATAGTTCCCCAAGAAGTAGGCAGTAGAACACAATGACCTTTTAAAATGAAGGGGTACAAATTCACATTTAATATAGTATACAATCAATAATACAATAGCTACTGTAAGCTTTACAATGTACAATTTATTTTAGCGGTTGAACTGTTCAGTGATTTTTAGGCATTAGTCTGTAGGCCAATAAGACAGCTGTATTTAATAGTTTTAGAGAACATATAAAAGCTGTTTCTTTTCTAACAAAAGCTATCTTCATTGGAATACTTTTTAGAAGGCCACTGAAATGTATAAAATGATCTAATTTGATGATGGTTTAAACCGAGGTCCTCTTCACATGGCAACAGCAGTGCAAGTATAAAATAAAAGGCTGAGCTTTCAAATGCCTTTGAAGTTTACTTTGACTAGCACAACAGGTTTGGATGTACTCAAATAAAGATATGTGAAATGTAATGAATATGTTCTATTTAAGTTTTATTAAAGTGAACACTATTCAAATGAAAATTGGGAAGGAAAAGGCTTTTTTATAATTAGACATATTTTTGAAGAGTGGCTCCATAACTCATTTTTCTAAACTTTAAATCATAAAAAAATGAATATATATTCACTTAATTTGGGGTAGCCTAATTTACTGTATTTGCAAACAGAGAATTTTTATTCAAGCATATTTTGTGTGTCTGAAAAATCCAAACAATATATATTAATATATACAGCATCACTCAGTACCTACTAAAATTAATGTGAAGGTTACAGAATCTAATGTTTTGCACTACAGTCCATTTTCTTTTCTTTTAAAAAAGTGACCAATTGAGGCTAGAGACAAAAAATTTCAAATAATCTATTTTCAGTTGACTTTTTAAAGCAGCTTTCATAGAAATAAATGCATATTGCACAACTGTGAAAGCAAGGTTCCTTGAAACCGCTCTGGTTTTGGGGTGGATGACTGAAAAATACAGGATTAGTTAGTTACACTGTAGTATTTCTAAAGAATGTGTGTCTCTGTATATATAAAGCTGTGAGAATACTGTACAAAGAAAAAATCTGGTACATGAATAATTAGAAGGGAACACACAAATCCAAACTTAGATATTTTTTTTAAAAAAAATCAAAATAAGGGAGAAAAACCAGAAACAGTGATGAAACAACAAAATAAAGTAACTGTGATAGCAGAAAGCTTTTTTTAAACATGTTTATGTACAACTAAGGCTTACTGGTTAAATATCTGAGGCTTATCAGGCCTTGAACACTTTCCTTATATGCAGTAGCTGTAAACAAGATTTTTCAGTCATTTTGTCTTCTCAGCAGCTGCTTTAACACATGAAAATATGATCCTGGTTTTAAAAAAAACACACCCAGGTAAAAGGGCTTTTGGCAGAATATCTGAAAACAACAGTTTCCAAGAAATCTTCCCAGGCATCCAGTGACTTCCATGCTATGGTCCACTGGAGTTACTAATTATGTGCAATCCCATGATTCTCTGATGAGAATAAACAAATTCTATTTGGAAAGCTTGCTGATCACTCTGATCAAGGCCCCGTTTTCATCCTTTAGCCTCTGGTTATCAGCCTTCAGATCTGGTAGCATCTATAAAAGAAAAAAAAAATAGAAATGTGATATTTGACAATAAACATTTTTTTCAGAAATAAGTATTTTTATAGATAAATATTATATTATCTGATCATCTAATAAAAGTTCAGAGGGGCCCTTAGTGTTATCTGAGCTTGGTTATTTTCTTACATATGTTTCATTACTCAAACTAGGTAACACCATCAGTGCTGGGGTTTGCTCTAAGTTTATATTCTAGTATCTTGCCCTGCCAGTGTTGGTCTTGGAGATTCTTTGATAGGGCTGTTTATTATTAGCTTGTTTGACAATTCCTTGACTGGGGTATTGTTCACTTCTTGACTGTTGGCCTGATTATGCTAAATCAGCAGCCCCCAACCTTTTGGGCTCCAGAGACTGGTTCCATGGAGAAAGTTTTTTTTGCAGATCGAAGAAACCTGTTGTTAGCATGCCGTGGATTGGTGCTGGTCCACAGATCAGGAATTGGGGACCCCTGTGCTAAATAAACTATGGAAAATTTAAAAGGGCTTTAGCAAAAGCTATGGTTTCTTAACAAATAGGTAGTTGGATGCAGTGTGAAATGAAAATTAATTTGTTCTTTGGGAGAGTTAGTTTGCTCTTTTGTTGAGAAGGCAAGGCTAAGAAGATTCTGCCTTCTCAGAAATGAGTAGGGCAAGGAAGGAATTAAATAACCAACCTCCTTTATATACCATATGCTGGATATCTGCATAAATATGGGATTTTGTTTATTCTTAAATTCACTTAATGCACTTTAAATTATTTTCTGGTTTTGCCTTATTAATACTGAATTTCATCTATATTGAAAGCTTATTTGGAAGATTATGCCTCAAGCGGGCATTTAAATGCACAAGGCAGTAATTCAGATTTTGTGTGTGTGTGTGATTCAGGGTTTAAGGTTATTTGAGATAAACTGAAAGGCAATACAATTACTGTGGAGTATTGAAAGATATGTATTCATACATTGTTCTTTTAAATGATCATTACTATTTACAATTTTGAATTCAATGTTGGGGCAATTATAGGAAGGTAACTTTGCCAACTGTATGACCTCTTCATATGACCTCTTTTCAACTTGTGGCCTTGGAGAATGTGAACAGAGTGAATGAAAAAATGAGTGTCCAGCATTTGCTTGCCTGGTTTTTGCTCCTTCAGTCTGATTAAATTGTGAGAATGGATCGCCCTATTGTTGAACAAAGGTACTTACTTTTTTGAAAAGTAATGTATTCTATCTAATTAAGAAGCCAATTATAAAATCTGAACTGAAAAAGCTTTCTATGGCCATATAATCTCTACCATTAAAGCTCAATCTTTATTTTAATCAGAAATTTTATCTGAAATGTGGTACTGAGAATGGTATGATCACCTTGGTAGATGATTGTTGGTTACTAGATGGGGGGTGGGGATGGAATACAAATCTCAGCAGCTTTCAATACCATTGACATGGTACCCTTCATGCTGCTTAGTAGTACTGGGTATTAAGAGCACTTCTTTACAATAGTTCTTGTCCTTTTATCAGTGTGTGTCCAGAAAACAGCTGGAAGACTATTGCTTGATATTCTGATCACTGATCTATGGTGTCTCACAGATTTCTATCTTGCTAATGCTCTTTAATATTTATGTGAAACCACTGAGAAAGTGAAAGAACTGAGGAAGGTCACTGAGGACATCCAGCTTTACTGCTTCTTTAACTTGGAGGAAACATTCAGCTTCTTAGGCATTGCCTATCTGCAATACCAGCTGGATAAGGGGAGAATGAAATGCTCTCCAACAGGAGATGAGTTTGTACTCCGACTCTTCTATTATTTAGGAAAATGATAAGGATGCATCTCTTTAGTCAAGTTTTTAACTGTAATTGATGCTAATGTTATTGATTATAATTTCAATATTTTGCATTTTACATCCTGTTCTATTGTTCTAAATGAGCACTTATAGGAGTAGAGAAAATGGGCTATACATTTAATAATAAATATAAAAATAGCTGAAATTATGATTCCTTTGTTTCCATGGGGGTAAGAGTGAAAGAAAGAGCAATGCAGAATATTCTTTTGAGTTTTCTTGGGAATATCTTTTTTTCCCCCACAAAGAAATAAATAAAAATGACTGACAACTGTCAACTAAATACCCCTTTTTGGTAGCTTTGGATTATATGGGGATTTCAGTTTAGTCTCAAAGCAACATTCCAAACTTAATGGCTTGTATTTTTCACAATGGGAATAAAACAAATCATTAATACTATTTTTAAACTAAGCTACAAGAATACTTTTAAGAACTATAAGTCACAGTGCCATAAATGAATTTGTGTGGTACAATATGTCACTTTCTTTTACAAAAGCAAAATTATATTGGATTGCACTAATATTCGTTATGATCATGGTACATGGCTAAATTTTAAAAAACATTAAATTTTGAGGAATTTAAGAATGTACATTTACCTTGAGTTCTTCTTCCATTTCAGATATTCGCCTTTCTAGAGCTCTTCGTTCCTATAGTGAAACATTTGAAATAATGAATGTATAATTTTGATAGATAGCTCTCATTTTACTGTACTACAGTCCAAGACGTTCACATTTAACCAGAAGCACGGTGAGGGGAAATTTGCAAGGCCAGTGATGTGTAAAAACTAATTCCACTTTAAAACTAAGAAAACATAACAAAATGTTGAACATAGTCTATGCATTCTATTCAAGAAATTATTTGTATAAATGTATACAGGCAATAATTTTATATTGTAAGTCTACTATTATTCCTTTACCTAAATTTTAAATTATAGTTTAAAATACAATAGAGGTAAGAACTCAGTTAAAGGAAGCACAAAGCATAAGCTACCACAGACAAGCGAATGTTAGTTCACACACTTTAGTGTACCAGTCATATTACATGTGAGTCCTTGACTTATTCTATTCGTACCAAAAAGCAAAAGCTTTTATAGCTCAAATTTTGGTTGACAGTCTGCCAATGCTGTGAGCCCAGTTAAAAAGCATATGCTAAAATCTGTGTTTATCATTCATTTTCAAATGTGAAAGAGAAAAAGCAAGTTATTGCAAAGTGTACATGAACATCTGCATTCTACAGTGTTATGCAAAACAAGCAGCATCAGCTGAGTGTGTAAAACTCTGGTTAGATCATACCGCCCCGTGGATACTGACTCTTGTCGGTCACCTTTCAGATACAAATCATTTGAATTTAGTTTAATCATAGTTAAGTGAATTTGCTGGCATATTTTCCCCAGTTTTAGAAAATAACTTAAGTAATGTAATACATTAATGATTCACTGTTATTAGTTTCTAAATTTGCTGGTTACTTAACAAACCGGTAAAAAATGAGTTACTAAAATATGTTCATGTGTATCAGTGATATGTTAAATAACTGTGAGTTAATTGGCATAAGCCTGAAAAAGGCTATAAATTTATAAGGCTTATACTACCCACAGTTACCTTGGAAGGGAAACATAACAAACCCCGTATGAAAACCAATTCTACTCCTGTGATATGGGTACCATAGAAATTACAGCTCATGTTCTTTTGTATTTAAATCCTTTATTTAAATTTCTGGAGCCCTCTGGTAACTTTTATTTACATAAATTAAACAATCAGGATAATTTATTTTTCTAAAAGTAGCAAAATTTTGCTACATAGGATATATATAAGCTTTGCCCACAAATAGTTGCTAATAGTTCTTGTTGTTAGGGATAATTTCTTGTTTGTTTTATTGAATATAATTGTATTGGTCAATGGCTGAAATAAAATGTCTGTCTGTCTAGTATTTTCTATATTAATACATATTATATGTATCTTGGAGGTATAAATGGAAAACATTTTTTAGGCTAAAAAGCTACCCTGTCAGCCAGGTGTATTGAACCTTACATACTGTACTGGAATTAATTTTTTTAAAGGTTCTATATTGTAATTATCTAATTCGGGATTTTCAAACTGGATTCAAAGAGAACTTGATGGGTTCTACATGAGACTAAAGGGAAAATATGAAATATATACATTTGTGTAAATATAAACCACCACAAGCATAAGCTCTGCTTTATTGCCAGTTTCCTAACACTGGCCAATTGATCATGGGTCCTGTTTTATAACAACAGGTGCTATAGACTGAAAAAGTTTTAAAATCCCTGGTCCAGCCCACTGTGCTTTTAAAAATCATGCTGGTGACTGTGACATCCCTGTATGATCCTAGCTGTGGTTCTATTTCTGCTGATATTGCTTCATGAGATTTATTAAATGTTAGTTGGCCAAAATCACTGTTCATATGAATTTTATCTAAGCATAAGCAATTGCTTATACAGTCTGTAGAACACAAATACAATTTACAAATTCTATAAATGAAAATGTTACATTAATCTATGTTCAGCGTATTTTATCACTCTGTAATTATGGTAAGAAATACTTCATTGGGAAAGAAATATTGTTCACAAAGTTTCTAAAAAATATTTTTTTAGAATTCTGACATAATAAATTCCTAACTAACATCATTACAAAATTATCTAGTTATGATATCTGAATAATTTCATACATTCTCTAGGGGAGTGAGCAAAACGGAAAAAAATCTGTTTTGAACTTGGAACAAATCTCCAGGTTCTAGAAGTTCTCCTAATGTCTTTCAAATCAGTTCATGATTCAGGAGAAGTGAATTATTTGGGGTTTCAGACAAAATGAAATCTGAATAGGGTGAAGCCTGATGCATCATCTTCTCTCTCCCTTCAGAAGATGCCAAAATAGCATATGCCACAGGCCCACTAACTGCAACCCTCTTTTCCTGTGGCTATTGATATTCCAGTGCAGCATATTTTATCAGCTTATCATAATCATCATCTTGTTATCTTTTCTTCCTCCCTCCCTCCATTGGTTTAGGATGGTATTGACCATATCATAGAATGTACTCTATAAATCTATATTCATTTCAGCTAATAAGAAAAGTCAACAGGAACATTCCAGGTTGAGAAGTACTTTCATGGAAGAGCTTCTAGGAATGTAGTGTGATGGATAGGAGTTCCCAAAAATGCACTTGGACATCAGTGCTAGCCAAGGGGAGGAAAGGAGGGACTCTAAAAAAAGTGTGGTGACCATGTCAGTGAAATATTTTACATTGGGGTATCAGTGGTAGTGACAGATAAAGGGAAGGAAAAAGGGAATGTACTGAGAAGATGAGGGAATGGGGGGAAAGGGGGAAATGTGAGCAGCATGTACTTTGTCTTTTTCCCCCCTTAACCATCTCAGCACTGCTGCTTGGGTTTTTCCTCTCCTTCCATTAACTGCCTCTGCCCAGGAACAGCCATGTTCTATTCCATGTATGAACCAAAACACCTAAAACTGCATGTTCAGTTCAGTCAAAGATCATCCAAAACCTGTTGTACAGTTGATGAATGAAGCATTTTGTACATCCCTATTCTTTTCCAATTCAAATTATTATTTTGTAACATTTACACTATAACAACAATAAAGATAAAAAATAAAATTAAAAAAGCTTACCCTTTTTTCCATTTCTAGCAGAGATCTATCAGCAAATCTTTCCTGTCTCTGAAATACATAAGTGCATGCTTTCACAACAAATTTCATTTGAAGGGAAATTAGGGAAAATTAAATAAGTTGTTGCATTACTATTATTTTTAACAACTTTTTGTGAGCAGTAGCATGGTCACCAGAATTCCAGGTGGACACTTCCTATATGGACCACAAATCAGCATTAACTGCTGCTTAGGATCAAACAATGGCTTGGCCCTTGGAAGGAGAAGTAGGTTCAAATGCACTAGCAACAATGAACTTCCTCTCCTTCCAAAGGCCAATGTATGCTTATTTTTCTGAATCTAGAAACTTTCTTATGTAGGTGAGCATTGAGTACTACTCATTCCTGTTAGTTTTGCACTCTGGAACAAGTGTTATATACACAATTCTTATACTTTAACACCATGTCACTTGAAGCCCACAAAGATAAACTCTATCTGCTATGAGAATTACAAATGACTATTTTAATGTACTGATACAACATTTAAAATATATAAAATATTTTTTTTCATTTTCACATACAGAAAGAAGGTAATGCCACCCAAAACCCTTTCCCCATCAACTTCTTAAAAGAAGATACTGAAGAAACAAGGTGAACAAGCTCAACTTAGAAAAGAGTTCTAGAAATACCTGGGAATTAAGCCACATAGGCTTTTACATACAGAATTTATACTTTTCTCTTTCTTAGCTGAAGTACAGCTACTTTGTTTAGAAGCTACTCATTTAGTGACTGTTTGCAAGTATAATAATACTAATACCCTATTACTATTGGTACTACCCTTGATTGCCTTTGCCTTAGTCGTTCTATTTCTATTCGTAGGTCTTTGTATTTTGTTATTTTCTCCAATTCTTTCTCTTCTATTCTGCTGTCTCCAGGCATTGCCACATCCACATCTACATTTTTTTGTCTTTCTTATCAACAACTGTTAAGTCCGGGGTGTTATGTGGCAGGTGCCTGTCTGCCTGGATTCTGAAATCCTAGAGCAATTTAACTTTTTTATTTTCTATGACTTTTTCTATTTTATGCTCCCACCAGTTAGTACCAATAGTAATAGGCGCCTTGGGTGAAGTCCCAAAACAACTGGAGCACCACTTGAACACCATAGGCATTGACAAATTTGCTATCAATCTATTGTAGAAGGCAGCTTTACTTGGAGCAGCTTCCATCCTGCGGCGATATCTGTAACACCATCAAATATGCAGATTTGCCTATCCCAGGTCCTTGGTAAGGACTCGATAGGTAGACAAAAATGCCAAACCCAGTCTGAACATCTGGCTGACTGTGCAATGAATAATAATAATCTGAAGAAACAGTGGACAAGAAGACTGCACAGACTGACTACAAACAAACACAAAATAGCAATAATGGTGCATTAGAACAGGAGTCTCCAACCTTGGCCACTTTAAAGACTTGTGGACCTCAACTCCCAGAATTCCTCAGCCAGCTTTGCTTTGCTTTGCTGGCTGAGGAATTCTGGGAGTTGAAGTCCACAAGTCTTAAAGTGGCCAAGGTTGGAGACCCCTACATTAGAAGATCTGCAAGATACAATTTGCCTGCAAACAAGAAATGATGGCACCATAAAATAAAGTAATGAAAATGAAGACACTAAAGTGTTATGCGACTTTAGAATTCAGTCAAGCACCTCTACCACATAACACTCTAGACTTAACAACTGTTGATAAGAAAGACCAAAAAAAGTCTGGATAGTGGATGTGTTAATACCTAGAGACAGCAAAATAGTAGAGAAAGAACTGGAGAAGATAACAAAATACAAAGTTCTGCAAACAGAAACAGAACGACTGTGACAAAAGAAAGCAAAGGTAGTATCAACAGTAATAGGCACCTTGGGTGCAATCCAAAACCACCGGAGCACCACTTGAACTCCATCCACATTGACAAATTCACCATCCATCAATTGCAAAAAGCAGCTTTACTCAGAACACCTTCTATCCTGCGACAATACCTATAACACTATCAAACATCCATATCTGCCTATCTCACGTTCTTGGGAAGGACTTGATAGATGGATAAAAATGCCAAATCCAGTCTGATCATCTGGCTGACTGTGCAATGAACCATAATAATAGAAATCATTTTCCAAAAGACCAAAATGTGCATATTAGGACCAAATGTTATGCATAACAAGAGCCTTCAGTGTAAAATTGACTACGGTCTAGTCAGTTTCAGGCAGAAGTACAAGCCCGCTGGAGGGTTCTAATCAACTAAGATCACAGAACTGAATTTATTAACTTGCAGTTAGCACTTTTTCAGGAAACAGTGGGCTGTGGAAAAGAACGGCTCAGGACAAGATGGGTTATTTAAACAATCTCTCCACCCTGGGAAGGGTAAAAATGGGTTAGGTACAGAACACTGCATGAGAAAAGTTTTATCTAAATGAAATGGCAGCAACCAGTGATCTTTGCAGCATGTCTTTCTCTGAGTCATATATTCACTTAGTAGCAACCAGTATCTGATTTAAGGAATGAATTGCCATCATTAAAGAAGGAGAGGGTTATTTCTCATCTTGTCTTCCATTTTTTCCCCAACTTTGTTGTTTTGAGATTACCAAAAAATGGTCTGTCCCAAGCATTCATCACCATGCATCCTTCATTAATTCCCTCAATCTTTAATCTGTAATAAACTCAATACATTTTCAGATTACATCCCTTCCTATGCCATGTGAATTTATAAACAGACTTATGAATAAACCACATACATAAAAGTAAAGCCATTTATAAGATTGCCTAATCATAAAAGGTATTTAACTGTGTATTTTGTTTCCAAACCAAACATTAAAAAGTTAGCATGGATATAACATACCATGCAAACAGAGTAAAGCTCACTTCAGCTTTTCTGATATGTTATATGTAATATACTGAATTACTCCTCCCTACCAAGCAAGCTTAAAGCAATACAGGATTTCATTAAAAATGTTGTTCATTGTACCGGTACTATTATATATTTGATTCTCTCTAATACATTTGCCAATGAAAGTTTAAATGTACAAACCTGGGTTGCCTTTTCCAATTGCAGCTTAAGGTCCGTTAATTCCATATTTGTATCATGCAACTGTGCTTTCAGTTTTTCATTTTCAGCTATAATCTGTTCATAAAGCTAAAAAGTATAGATTTTTAAATAAAGTATTGTTTCAAACTTGCAAGCTAATTCTATATTGCCTGAAACTAGAGTTTTTCCCAAAATAATTTACATAAAATACATTATTATTATGTAATAATAATTTAAATGGCAAGGACATTTTATATTAAGGATCCATAATTGGACCATATCATATTCTCTGCAATTCTCTTTATGATAAACAGTATGTGCAGTTCTCCCTTGTATCAAGTGAATGCTACCCCACAAATAACCAAATATTTTCCTTCCTCCAAATGTCCTTATTTTGATACAGTAATTTATTTAATTTGGAGACATATATGTGTATATCAAGTGATCTAGAATTATTTCAGAACAATAGAAAAGTTATGATGTGCTACTACTATCACAATCAAATACCTTTTTAAAGTCAGCTGTATCTTCTTTTTCTAGTTTACTGGTGTATAATTTGCGATCTTCCAAGTAACTATAACCGGTCCGTCCTAGTACTGAATCATAGCGATCTCCAGATGACCCTGTATCATATCTTTGAAATGAAAAGAGACAGTTTTGGTTTAATGGTTAAGGCACCAGGCTAGAACCCCAGGAGATGGTGACTATGAAGACTCTCAGTCATCCAGGTCATGGTTTTTCAGAGCTGAAGAAGCTTCTTGGATGAGAAATAAAATGTCTCCAAAGAAAAACCAGAAAGTCCAGTAGTCTCTTGAAAAAAGCACCTTTGTGAAAGGAGACTGCGAGGTCTAGTCCAGACTTATGCATGGAAGACGACTGGTGACTTTGGATAAAAATATTAATATTATGCTAATACCCACCTCAAGTCCTACAACCAAAAAAATTAATATCATTATAAAATGGCTAATTCACTGCTCTGAATTAAGGGTTGGATAAATTTAAATAATAATAAGATAGTAGTATTAGAGCGACATGATCTCCATAAAGGATGGCATGTTCTTTGTGGGACAAACATGAAAGGACCCATTCGTATTTTTACTGGCATCAAATTAGAGATTCATTAATAACAACATGGGGAAAAAGTGAGGAAGAAGCGCTATATCAAATTACCAGACTGGGTGTCACCAACGGAAGCAGTGAATTATTCCAATACAATAGAGAACAAAAAGAAAATTAGATACAAGGAACTATTGGACAATCAGGAGAATTTACAAACAACTGAAAAATTAAAAGAACAAGGTATAATTGTGGATTGGTGGCCATACATGCAGATAAAAACTAGATATAAAAAAGATATGGAGGAATTTGGAATAGAAAGGGAACCCCCAAAATTAGACCAAATTTTAATTGGTAAAGAAGAAAAAATTATCACTAGAACTTATAATTATTTATTCCGAGTAGAAATGGAGGAAGAAGTAGTTAAGGGCCCAATGATTGCCTGGGCACAAAATGTAGGTCATAGCATACAGCTAGAAGATTAGGAGAGAATTTGGACCAAGAACTGCAAATTAACGTTATCAACAGCATATAAAGAAAACCTACTTAAGATGTTTTATAGATGGCATTTGACACCGGTGAGATTGGCCAAAATATATCCTGATATGAAACCACAATGCTGGAAATGTAAGCTCACAAATGAAACATACTATCATATGTGGTGGAAATGCCCCAAAGTTAAAAAATATTGGGAAAAATTGAAAAAATGGATAAGAGAAATTACAGGGATATTGAATTTAAGGCAGAAGCTTTTGTGTTAGGGATGATTACTGGAAACCCAAAGAAACATATCCAATACATTGTGCAACATATATTAACAGCAGCAAGAATTGCCTATGCCCAAAGTTGGAAAATGGATGATGTACCTTCAGAAAATATGATAATAAATAAAATACTTGATTGTGCCGAGATGGACAGATTGACGAGAAAACTAAAAGGGAGAGAAGAGTCTGAGTTCTATGAGGTTTGAGAAATGTTATATATATGGTTAGATAAGAGAAACAAGGTTTGATATGGAGAAGAATGGTAAACATTGTATTTAAGTATATAAGTAAGGCTTGACACAGAACTGTTCAAATGTAAATTTTTATATGTATTTTGAAAATAAATAAATAAAAACCCAATTGCAACAACTCCCCTAAAAATCACGTTTTTTCCTATTGCTTCTTCCTTTGCTTCGAAATTTCATAATGCAAAATGCAATCCATTATCTAAGACTTATTAAAGATATAAAGTATCCAAGTATGTGTTGTATCAGACAACTATAGGTCTGACAACATTTGATAGCAATAATTAAAATCTTGATGAATTATGTATAATAAACTACTGTTATCAGATTTAATTAATCATTTTGCTTGGTACTAATAAAACATTTTATAATCCCTTGAAGATTATGGTCCTACAAGGCAAATATCTGTATTAGAGCATAATAATATTGCCATGTTTAAATTAGATGGATTTATTATAATATGCATAATTAAAGTTTGATGGAGTATATTTGTTTCCTTAAAGCTTGTATAGCATTACAATACATATAATAATTTTATACTATTTAATAAAGAAATCCAAATAGGAAAATGCATACCTTGAATGGCTGTCGCTCTGAAAAATGAAGAAACAAATTAAGTTTAGTATATTACACTTATATTTAATGAGAAAACATTAACATAGTGAAAAAAACACAACTTCTGAACCAGTTGAAAAAAATATAGATTCTATTAAACGTACCATTTAAGTAAGATTAACAAGGACTGTTTGAATGGTGGAAGAAAGTCTCTGGGATGCCCAGTGATATCTTTTTACTTAAAAAAATAATATAATAAAATACTTCTTGACTCATTTTTTTTCAGTTTTCCAATCCAAAGTTAGTTCGTCATATAGCTCAGAAAGTTACTATTTAAAGGACCTAGGTCCAAAGCATCTTTAAAGATCTAGAACTCTAGTGAACATGAACCGTTCCCGGTTAAATTCAACTCTGCATCTATTGTGATTTTTTTTCATGATAGTACGTATTGTAGTACTAAATAGCAATCGACAGGACACATGCCTGACAGACCCCAGTGTAGACAGGAAAACCCTGTATTTGAAGTTGAATTACTGGCATAGATATCTTTCTAAAGATTGAAGGTAGATTAATTCCATGGTAGGGTTTGCATTTATAGTGTCTTGCTCCCATCTGTTTGGTATTTGCTCTTATGTCCAAATCAATGAATTAGCAAGCAGGGTTGCCACAGCAAAGAGTCAGCCCCTGAATTAGTATTATTATTATATTTTTATCCTGTCTTTTAAAAATACATATTTTGATCAATTCAAGACAATAAATCTTAGTCATCAAATACAAATTGTTAAATTTTCTCTTGTCACAAGAAATGATTCTGGGTAGCATACATTCATTAATTAAAAGCTAGCTAGCTAGATAGATGATATAAAAAAAACCTAAAAATATAGGAGACAGGGAATATTAACTGCAATAGTAGAGCCATACCCAAAACTCCTGCCTTTTGTGCAAGTTGAGCTGACAGAGAGTATCTGGCCCAAAGTCACTCATCTGGCTTTTATGTCTAAGATAGACCTAGAAGTCCTAATCTCCTGGGTTCTAGGCAGTACTTAAACCAAGCTGGCTCTCAATCCTGTTTGTTTTTTTTACTCATTTATATTCTTTGGCATCATACCTAATTACATAAATTTGTGGTTTTAATTTAAATTTAATTTAAATTTTTTTGATGCTTTGGTACATTTCTTTCTAATATGTCCAGAAATACCACATGCCATGATAACTATGAAAGTTGTGATAATAAACATTTCGACTATGATGATGTATATCCATTAAATGGAATGAAGAGGCATATGCAGTATGTTTTGAATTTGAACTATCCACATTTCAGAGCCATCTTCATATTAAAAGTGCTTTGAACATGAAATTATTACATTTTAGTGTAATATTTGGTTTTAAACTTAAAATATTTTTCCAAGGCTTATTATCTCTTCGACATTCAAAATTAGGAGTTTCAATTCTGAAATGGGATATTTTCAATTTCAAGTGATTCAGTTCAGAACATTTTGTACATCCCTAAAACCTCTTCACAAGCTGTTCTAAGACACTATAATTCTGGTCCAGATGGTATGATAAGGATTGCCAACAAAAAGAAACAGGATAGAAGTATGTGAATTATGTTTTTTTTTTTTAAAAAGGAACATTCCTCCTGGGTCTTATATAGCCAAAAAAAAAATCCCATTTAACTTTTATCCCAGTCACATTTGACTACACTATTGATAAAATACTGTAGAGCTAGATATTTTGGTTGTCTGATATATTTGTTTAATTATCTTTTCTAATTTATGGGATATATATAATAATAATAATTGACCTCAGTTAACTCATTATCTACAATAGTTAGATTAAAATTAATCAATTAACCAATTATTCATAATAAAATTAGATTAAAAGAAAAGCAGAATACACATAGTTCGACTTACAATCACAACCAAAAATTTCTTTTGCTAATTGAGTTTTGCCCTATTTTACAATAGTTATTGCCACAGTTGTTAAGTGAATCACTGCAGTTGTTAATAATATGGTTGTTAAGTGATCTGGCTTCCCCATTGACTTTGTTGTCAGGTCACAAAAGATGATCACATGACCCCAGGGCACTGTAAATGTCATAAATGAGTCAATTGCCAAGCATGTGAATTTTGATCACATGACCAAGGGAATGCTACAATGGTTGCAAGTGTGAAAAATGGACATAACTCATTTTTTTCAGTTCCATTGTAATTTTTAAGAGTCATTAAGCAAACTGTTGTAAATCAAGGACCACCTGTACTTTCTTTGCAGTGCAAAACAATGCAAGTATGTCTATTCTGTTCATATACTGGTTTTGGCACAAATCTAAATGCAGGAGGAACTTTATTTGACTAACACTTTCGGAAAAATACAGGATTTCTAATGTAATTTAATGTAAGGAGAATAAAAATTACCTGTGCTTCTTTTTTATTTGTTCCCTCTTCTGAATCAGACAAATGTTCTTGTTCGTTTTCATCACTCTAACAGAGAAAATTCATTGTGATTAATTCACATTTTATCAGAGAAGAGGCTACTAAAATGGCTTGTTGTAACCTTATTTGTAACTTTTTCTAATATATTTTATTTCTGAAAAAAAATTTAAAATTTTCTCTTTTCTTGCTTGTAAGACAACTTTCAATATAATTTGCAAGCTTTTTAAAAATCTACACTCCCTTTTATGTACAGGTTGTGGGCATATTAGCACTATTCTAGATTTGCCATCTCACTTTTTTACAAGTCATATTTCTCCATTCTGATCATTATTATAACATTTGACATGATTTATTTTATCAGACATCTATTTTATAATTTAAATCCATTTTAATAAAATATACAATGTTATTCACTATTCAGTGAATTCTTATTATTCAGATTTCATTAACATTAGGATGTACTGTGTTGATTATTAGCAGAGTGGACATTTCTGCATGTCTAAATTTAATGTTCCATGCAGTTTTCAATGTGTCATTCAAATCTGGTTCGGACTGTTGGAAGACTCTCCTGAGCAGATATTTTAGGCATAAGGGAAACACAGCTGAGAAAATTGTGACACATGAATGCAGGATTTGATAGAGCACATAATAAATGTATATAAATGTTAATGTGATCCAAACTCATATTTAGAATTTTTGTTAATACATTTATAAGCAGCTCAGTTCTGTCCAAAAATTCTAACTTAACTGAGGATTTTCTATTGCACATAAATTTACTATACGATCTATAATCCATAATGAAAATAAATACCCTGTTTCTCCAACAATACAGCCTCCCCCAATAGGAAGTCCCAGCATGTTTTATAGGCATGAAATGAAATTAAGCCCCTCCCCCCAAATTAAGGCCTATATTAAAACATGCAAAATGGGGAGAATGGTGGGGGGGGGGGGGGCTTGCCATTAGGAAGTACTTTTGTTGCACACCCGGATATGGTGCTGCCTGTGTTGACCTCGATACGAAGTGCCCCACCAACGCCGAGGTCAACATCCAAGCCGTCGCCGCCCGCCCGAAGATGCAAGGGGGGGAATTAAGTCACCCCCGAAAAGACAGCCTAGCCATTTTTTCAGGGCTCAAAAAAAATAAGACCCGGCCTTATTATATGAGAAACATGGTATATGTTCTGCCTAAACTTCAATCCAATAATTTGCAACAATTCATTCTTATCATTCTTATGTTACAACTAATACCACACCTTTTAGAACAACTTTTTATATTCTAAATAATGTTTTAAAGTCACACTTATTTAAGGCAATGGCTACTAACCAAATTAAACATTGCTTGAAAAATTGTATAATTTACAGCTTTGCTCATATAAGAACTATCATTTGCAAATAGATTGATGATCAATAGCTAAACTACTGTATAGATAGGAAATTGCTTACAGGACATAACCATCTTACTCTAAATATGGACATGACTAGCATAATGCATATTACATACAATTTATCATGTTGTAACATTTACTATAAAACATCTTACTCAGTCTTCTAAATTGTTTCAAAATGCATATTTAAGGATTAGCTTAATATAATCTCACATCTTGAGTCCAAAAAGAAACTCCTGTTGATCTTCGTTTTTCTCTTGGCCGCCGTCTTTCTCTTATTGATTTTGTTTGTGATTTATCTTCTTCCTTTTCTTCTTCCTTCTTGTCTGTTTCTAAATAAGCAGTAAACGTTAATGATTTAAAGTTGTTCTGAAAGCATTCTGATATAACATATAACCTTCTATTGCAGTTCCTGAAACCAAGACAACATCCAATTTTATGAAAGAATATTTAAATGTTTTTGATAAAAGAATATATAGTTTTTAACACCACATTGTTCTCATTATTTATAATTCTTCATTTCAGCCAATTCTATCTTCACAGTGAAATAATGTATATATTTAACCTTGGATATCAAAGTCTTAACATGTTTGCGTACATCATGACATTTACAAACACAAATTCATTAAAGCATCCAGAGCACACTTATTTAGATAAGTATTTGTTTAGCCAGAAGCATCAAGTTTTAGCGTGCAACAGACTCTTTGGAGAAAGATTTGCATTTAAGCTAGTTAGATTTGCTTTCTTTTCTATGCGGTTTTCACAAAATAATAAATATCCATTGGTACAAATAAATTTAAGATAATAACAAAATCAAATCTTAACTTTCAAATTGATTGTTCAGCTTCAAAATGCTTTTATTAACTTGTACAATAATTATTAAGCATGGCTGCACAAAGCACATTACATTCCTTTGCCATCATGCATTTTATAAGTGTCTTTACCCTTGAATTAATTTAAGAAATGATAAACATCCAGGTACTTGTTTATTTCAGTGTTCCAGTCTTCAGGGCTGAAAAATGAATCTATGTTAAGGTGACACAATATTTAGCTTCAGCCACAATCTAAAATGCTTTTTAAAAAAAAGTTCCCACCACTCGCCTGAATTAAAGTATGAAACCTATGGCACTTGATGGAAACTAGGAATAAATTTATATTTGATCTACTTGGACGCAATTAAAAATATTTTAACAAAAAAAAGTATTTAGCCTGTAATGCTGTAAGAAGATTTCTATATGCTTTATTAGTTAATAATTCATTAACCTCTCCGATAAACTTTTGAAGGACAGTTTACTGGTAATGAAAAGAAAGCAAGAAAAAGAAATAAAAGAAAATTTACCTCTCTCATTTTCTTTTGCTGTACTTCTTGAGTAAGCAGAAGTTATACCTATAATGCTATTTGGTCTATTCAATTGACTTGAAGAATTAGAAGAAGTAGCTAGTGAAGAAGTTGATGAAGCAGTTGAAGATGTAGTTCTATAACGATGATATGGCTTGTCAATAAAAAAAAATCAACATCAGTTTTGAAAATCAGAATAGGCACATTTATCAAAATCATTATCATATTGTTTTAGAATCATCATAATATTTATTTACACATTTTTAAAATATAAAATACCTCCTCTAATGTTCGTGCATATCTTTGCCTGTAATCATCATCTTTAGTTTCAGATTCTTTCTTTTCCTCCTGTTTTTCTTTGTCTTGTTTTTCTTTTTCTTCTTTTTCTTTTTCTTCATTTTCTTGTTCTCTAGTTCGTGTAGGACGATTTCTACCAATTGTTTTTTCAGCTTCCTGGAGATCAGTTAATGTAACACCCTAGAAAATAATCATCCTAATGTTAACTTATTGCCATTATACCATTTAATGTATTTTGATTTTCAAGCACTATTATGAAGTTTTTAATTAATTAGTGACATTCCAGGGATCTCTCTCTGACAGAAATACTAAATACGCCTATATTGCATAACAATTAAGGATACACATTTCTGAAAAATAGTAGAATGTCATTAATGGTACAAGATTAAAATCCTTTCCTATTTTAATATAATTCATAAATATTCATCATTTGTGTTAATCCTATAATTTGTACACAGGCATATCTAGCTAAATTCAGAGAAACACTAATGTGAATATGAATAATGTTATTTAATTAGAACATCATGATTGATTTTACATGGCTTTTGTGATTTTTTATATTTTAATCTATTGTATTTACACTGCTCACGAGTCCAGCAATCATAGAATACAAATCAGTTAAAAGAGAGGTGTATGTCCTTAATCTAATTTTACGAAGGAAAACCCAAGGGAAGAGAAAAAAGTGGGTAGAAACTATGGAGGAGATCCCAATGAAAGACCGAAATATGCTTCTACCCTAGTAATAAGTTTAATAAGATTAATAATATTTAATTAAGACTAATAGAGAGCCAGTTTGGTCTAGTGGCTATGGTATCAGGCTAAAACCCTGCCTTAGACATGAAAGCAAGTTGTGTACTTTGAGCCAGTCACTTTCTCTTAGACAGGATTATTGTGGGGAAAATAGGAGGAGGAAGGAGTACTAGATATGATTGCCACGTTGAGTTATTTATTAAAAATAATAAAAATGGGATAAATATAAGGAAACAAATAAACCTGAAGTGAACTTAAGAAAAAAATATTCCTTTTCTCTGTGCTAAATCACATTGAATTCCCTTCACCTTCCATAGCCTGCTTGCTGACTGGTAAGCAGAGAGAAGAGGTACATAAAACTTGGAGACTTAGGCCTTGGTAGTTACCACTAATTCTTTTCATGGCAAAGCTCCCTTGCTCTGTCAAGGGCTTCTAACGTGGGGGACCAAAAGGCAACTTCCTTTCTTTACCTTATCTTCTAATTTTATCTAAAGGCTTTCAGTGGTTATGTGGCCAGGAAGCAAATCTCCAAATGTCATCATACAAAAAAAGCAAGTTTAATGAAATTACAGAAAATAAGCATAATTTTCCTGCTAATTTTAAAGAAAAGAAGGATCATATTAAAATTATTACAATCTCTCTTCAATGATACCCCTACCACAGGCAGCTGGTAAGAAAAGTAATTCAAACAGCAAAACAAACACAATACAAAATATTGACAAAATGGAGCGCAGCCAGGATACAAATCAAGTGTTTCAAAACACAATTATAACTATTTACTCTAGCTATTCCCTCCTGCTCCAAATTCCCTTATGAAGTTTTTTTTTTTTTTAACCACATCAGTACTTAGCCAATTTCATTATTTTTCTTTTAGTTTGCAAATGCATCCTTTTCTATAATTGGGTAAAATATCAGCAACTATTGAAATTAAGGCAACATTTTAAAAAAAAGATGATTAAAATTTTGTTTAAAAAATGTGATTAATATGGTAAGACAAATACAGTAGGAGAGTATAAATGTAGCTGAGACTTGAACTATGGAGTCCTTGATGCTTTCTGAGCTTGTTTGTTAGCTTGCAGACTTTTTTGTGATCAGTCCAGATCAGGGATGTCAAACTCGATTTTAGTGAGGGCCGGATCAGGGTGTGTTTGACCTTGGAGGGCTGGGGGTGGGAGTGACCATGGTGGGCGTGGCCAGTTTGACATCACTCGTGTTGGGATGGGCACCTGTGGTGGCCAACTGTTAAGGCAGGACTTCCCTGAGACCCCCCTCACTCTCATTATAATCTCCTTCCTTCCCTTCTTTTTCCTTCCATCTTCATTCTTTCTTCTTCCTTCCCCCCTTCCTTATTTTTCCTTCCACGTGCGCCCCCCCGAGCTTCATTTTTGGTGGCAGAGGCACCGTGGGCCAATCCTTTGTTGTTTCCAGGACAGCCCCACGGGCCATATCTGAGCACCTTGCGGGCCAGATTCGGCCCAAGGGCCTTGAGTTTGACACTCCTGGTCTAGACAGTATCTTCAGTGCTGTGCAGTGTAATGAACATATTATCTATCCTGATAATGAAATGTCTATGGGAAAACAACAAAGCTCAGACAGCCTCAAGGACTTCACAAACAGCACATTTCCAGATCACTATAAAATTCCATCACTTCTTTATATACTGTATATTTTGCCAGGAATTAAAAAATACAAATCACACAATACCACCATTTGTGAGATAGTTAGATTGCTGTACCTGTGTGGATCTTCTGGATTGCCTAGCTTGTCTTGATCTAGCTTTTCTTTGGGATTCTGATTCTTCATCCCGAACTGGAGTGAGGTATGACCTGAAATGAAAGATCAATTATAAAATAATTGAACTTTTAGATAACACACACATACAACACACACACGGATGCACAATTCCTTAAATTTCTTGGTTAAATAGTGCTAAGGCTGCAAATGCCTATGTTGCATTTCTAATTCTTTAATTAGACTTGAAAGGATGTTTGCATGATCATTAAGCACACACACTTAGCTCGACACACTATTTTTATCCCTAAGTACTATGAAAATAATTCACAGGTCCTCAACTTACAATCACAAATAAGACCAGAATTTCTATTGTTAAGTAACGCAATTGTTAAGTGAGTCACACCCAATTTTACTAACTTTTTGCCATAGTTGTTAAATGAGTCACCTGCAGTTAGTTAATAACATGGTTGTTAAGCGAATCTGATTCTCCATTGACTTTATTTTTTGGAAACTGCCTAGGAAAGTCACAAATGGCGATCACATGACCTTGTGATACTGCAACCATGATAAGTACATGCCAAACACCTGAATTTTGAACACATGACCGTGGGGAAGCTGCAACAGTTGTAAGTATGTGTACTGGTTTTAAATCACTTTTTTCAGTGCTGTTTTGATTTCAAACAGTTGTTAAATGTATGGTTATAAGTCAAGGTTATCTGGTATATATAATTACCAGCTAACTTTAAATTGTGATATCATCGTTCAGTCTTATAAGACACCTACAACACATTATTTTTAAAAAAATAAAAAATACTTTGAAAATTAGAAACTTAAATTGGTTATTTGATTCGGTGAAATGTTCATGTGCATCTTGACATGCCAGTGAGAGTGATGAACAAATCAAATGCCTAGATTTTAAAGTTACTTGCTTTTTAAGCCCTTCTTTTACATTAACTGGCTTTTTACATATAAAAAGCTTTGAACAGAAACAGGCATTATATGCATCATGCACCTAATCTTACATATATTTCATAACAATTGAGTTTCCATTACCTTTTTTTAATGAAAGGTATTCCTTTCAAAGCTTTGTGCTGAGAAAAAACCTTTAAGAATATTTATATTTACTGTTTACTTCATCATTTTACATTCTTTATTTAGGCATGGATTCTATTGTAGAATCTTAAAAGTTAATTGTAGCTCCGAATATGTATTTGAAGTTTCAGCACATGCACACTCACACAATTTATATGCATACATGTATTTTTGTTGTACTTCAGAATGGTTCCACAGACTCACTGGATTGGAGGGAACCTTAGAGATTGCCTTGTCTAACCTCCCAACACAGAACAGCAATTGTATGAAGATGATTGACTGACCCAGTCCAGAGGAAAACTCTAGGAATGGGAGCTTTTTCTGGATTGAAGCTTTTTTAATTTAAAAACAAGGAAACTGAGTAAGTAGATGAACCGTTCAGCTAAAAGATGGGGCTATATCATTGTGGGCAGGTAACTTTTCAACCATCAGAAAATTTACCATCAGTTTCAAACATGATTTTGGAAAGTTACGTAAGTAGCAACTACACCATTTATTAGATTTTAAAATTAATGTTTATTGATTAACACTGCTTATTTAAAAATATACTATGAACGTAACTATTTAAACAAAATTCTTCCTTTAAACATTACTAATTCTCATCATCATAATCTTTTAATGACCCCATAATCCCTTGCTTTACTAATTTACTAATATAGTAATTAACTTTACTAATTCTAATATTCTTATACAATCTACAAAGTTAGCTCTGTACAGCTACCATGACACTTTATGCCTTTTAATTGGAAATCACACACACACACATTTTCATTTCAAATGAATAGCAAATGAAGTAACCATCATTATAAAAAATCACATATTTTAAGAACAAGGCTATGATATAATTTAATTCAACTTAAAAACCATTTATAAATAATAAAATATTATGATAGAAATGTATGCTTACAGTTTATGCTGACTTATTATTCATAATTTACCAGCCACTAGTTAATTTTTGAAATTTGATTGATATTAATAATAGTTTAATAATAGGATTGATTTAATACTACCTTGAAATGTTAGTTCAATTTATTACAGCTGGAGAATCTCTCTCTTTTTTTTTTTCATTTCTATTTTGTAGAATTTTTAAATAGCTACTAAATCAATCAAATGCTTATAAAGGAAAAATAAATTCTTCTCATGAAAATTCCTCTCAAAAATCTACAAATAATGAAAGACCATGACAATGGAAACATAAAACACTACTCATTATCTTAAATTTAAAATATCCACAAATAACATCTTATTTTAGAAAAGTACAGTATAACTGAAGAGTGATTTGTATGTATATTTAGCAAGAAGCATACTAATATCTATCTATACAAGAAAAGTAATATTTATATAATATTTACACACCTGCGTCTCTCCCTGACTTCTGAAGATGACACAGTACCAGTAGTAGTTGTAGTCAAGGCAGTAGTAGTAACCCCAGTATTTACAATTGAGGGTGCAACAGGAACAGTCAGTGCTGTAGAAACATGGTCTTTTTCTTTCTCAGTGCTATCGTCAGCCCATAAACGATTTGAGGTACTGCATGATCCCAACAAAAACAACAAAAGAAAGATTTAAAAAAAAATGCAAACTTGCTAAGCTGTGCTTTAAAATTATCCAAATGTTCCAAATGAATTTTACTGGACTATATTTTCACTTTATTTCTCAAGTACTGATATTATTATTATGCAATCATCATCATCATTATCATTTTTTAACAATCCCCATAATCCCATGCGGGCCAGAGTCTGGGCAACTGAGTGAAACTGAGTGTTTACTGACCAGATGCCCTTCCTGTCACCAATGCAGAATTATATTCAGCAGATATATTCTCATCGTGCGCAGAAAGAGAAATATCTGTCTCTATCTAGGATCGAACTCACAGCCTCCTGATTGTAAGGTGAGAGGTGCATCTCTAGGCCACTGCACCATTCATTTTTTTATTAGTATGCAATGATGCATTGCAATTCTTTTTATGTGAATATTATTTGGATTTTGAGCCAGGGATCATATATAAAATGATACACTGAAATTTAAACATAATATGGCTAAAATAATACACTGAAAGAAATGTCAAATTATATTAACATGTAGCAATACTCTGCCAGTTGGAGATGCTTTATACTGGAGGTGGTTGGCGCAGTGACAAAGAAGACAATACCCCTCATGTCGCTTGAACCTGTGATTTTTAGTCTTAATCCTTGTAATTTCAATTATTCTTAAATTTATAATTGTTTTTATATTTCTATTTTTATTACACTGTAAGATGCTCAGAGCTTGGCTAGTCTAGTAAAGAGAAGGACCAGGGGAGACATGATAGCAGTCTTCCAATATTTGAGGGACTGCCACAGGGAGGAAGGAGTCAATCTATTTTCTAAAGTGTCTGTAGGCCAGACAAGGAATAATGGATGGAAACTGAACAAGGAGAGATTTAACCTGGAAATAAGGAGAAACTTTCTGACAGTGAGAACAATCAACCAATGGAACAGCTTGCCCTCGAAAGTTGCGGGAGCGCCATCACTTGAGACTTTCAAGAAGAGATTGGACTGCCATCTGTCAGAAATGGTGTAGGGTCTCCCGCTTGGGTGGGGGAAGGTTGAACTAGATGACCTACAAGGTCCCTTCCAACTCTGATTATCTGTTATCAGAGTTGCTTTTGATAGCAAATTGGGCCTCATATTTAATAGTTAAATAAATACTCCAGTTGAAGCTATGTTTAATTTCGATCATCTTCAGTGCAAAGAACTCAGATAAACTACCTGAAATTTCCACTTCTTGGTCAGTGAATAAGTATTAGTTATCCTCGTTCGTATCTAAATAATATTATCATAATTGAATATACACACATATCCCAAATAATGCTATGAAAGGGGCAGAAGAGCAGTATATAACCATGGTTTTTATTTTCCCTAATCACAAACACATACAAGGACTTCCTTCGAATTACATTTACTCATCCTATCAAGTCCTGCAAGAGAGGCATGCTCTGAGTTCCATATACCAAGAAATGTCATCTGAAAGAGCACTTTTTCTATCATGTCTCTGGAACATGATCACCCGCACCCCACCCTGGAAATCAGAATAGCTTTGACCCTGCTGTTTTCATAAAGCCCCGAAAACATGGTTTTGCCATCAGAGGTGAGGAGTTAGAAGTGGGGCAAAGCCTGTGCAGTAGCCTTATTGATGTTTTTGATGCGTATGAGAACACCTCTGCTATGGATTTTATTGGATGGTCTTTTAAAAATATTTTATGGCTCTGAATTTGTAGTTACTCTATTGTTTTGGTGTAGTTTTTTTGTTTTTATTTTTTGTGAGCCACCCAGAGTGAGAGATATGAGATGGGAGGCAATATAAATTGATTAATTAAATACATACACACACGCAGGGTTTTTTTAAAGGAATATTACCACCACCACCCCCGCCAAAAAAAAAAAAAAAAGCAGATATGGGAATTACAATGGGTTAATTTAAAAGCTTTTTTCTGCTCTCTCAGGTAGTAAGGTGAAGACTGCCAGAAATCATCCTGGAGATCAATATCTCTGGCAACTTACTTAAGGAATGTTCAAAACCCACAGAAACCAGTGTATTAAATCCATAATATCTTAAGGTACAAATAAGTGAATTACACCAAGAAAAAAAGAATTTATCTTAGAATCAGAGCACTACTACAACTTGAGTTGAAAATTGGTTTAAGTGTACATGTGGTATTACTCTGGCCTCAAATGCTTTTAATCCACCTGTAAGGACAAAATCAGCATAAAATTGCAGGCTCAGCATCTTATGCACGAAAGCTCACATTAATCTCACCTGCTTTGCATGGCTGATGTTGCTGAACCTGTTGTGGCCTTTGCAGCAGTGCTTGTACTAGAAAGCAGATTTTTCTGAAGACCAGTGAGAGAGGTAACAGTTGATATAGATGTAGTATTTGGAACACTAGTATTAATCAAGTCATCTTGTCTTCTACCAAAGGAACTGCTACCAAATAAAAAAAAATTGAAATATTTTTACGCTGATGATTTTTTGACCAAATGCCAATTAAATCCACTAAAAGGAAAAATGATAATTGTAATATATTACTACTACTTTTCCCCTCTTCTAGATGATTACACAGTCTTACCCCAATAAAACAACATGCTTGCATATATCAATGCAATATTGTGGCATATTTATCAATGATATAATTATTAATACTATTTTATATATTTAGTAATAAATATAATTACAACTATGCAGGTAAAAGCAAGCAAATGAAATCCATTAAAAGGCATGTTTTAAGAAACCAAAAATTAGTAACTTATACAGTGGTTATAAAGTAATAAAATTATAAAACAAACTCATTAGTGAAGAACTGATACCTACCTAAAACATTCATATCAATGAAAGGCAATCCTATTTCTATTGTTGCTTCCAGTAACAGGAAAGACATTATTCTTACATTTATTTAGTTCAGAGGTCTCCAAACTTGGCAACTTTAAGACCTGTGGACTTCAACTCCCAGAATTTTGGAAGTTGAAGTTCACAAGTCTTAAAGTTGCCAAGTTTGAGGACCCCTGATTTAGTTCATTACATTATGGAAGACTATTTTTTAAAAAACCCAGTGAATTACATAAAATGTGCCTTTTAGTTATTAATATCAAAAGAAAGACAACTCTAAATTTAATATGATTCCTGACAAAAGAAAAGAAAAAAAAATACAAACCCAGAGAAACACCTTAGAGAGAATAATATCTCCACCCCAACATCCCATATGTGAATATGCTGATACCAAAAGATGGGGGATAAGACCAAAATCAACTTACAGAAATCACTGTAGTAATGAAGTAATTATTATTTTTCATTTATGGAAAACTATTTTTTTTATGTATTCAGTATATATTCCATATACTAAATATATTATTCAATGGTATATTGAAATATATTAAAATAGTTAAATGTTGCTGTTCTTTAAATTTCTCTTTCGTTAAATTATACTCAAAATTAAACACTATATAGCGCCGTGATGGCGAACCTATGGCACACGTGCCACAGGTGGCATGCAGAGCCGTTTGTGCGGGCATGCGAGCTCAGACAAACTTATCTCACTGCGCATGCGCATGCCTCCCAGCTGATTTTCGGGCCTTTTTCGGCCTCCCAAAGGCTTGAGGGAAGCCTCTGCAGCCTTTGGAGGCCAAAAAATAGGCCTGTATGGTCACTTCCTGTATTTCCAGAAATACCAGAAGTGACAAAACAGCGAGCGCAAGCACACACACAATTTTTGGCACAGGAGCCCAAAAAGGTTAGCCACCACTGTTCTAGTGCGTATGGTTCTGAAAGAAAAAATGTTAATATTCTTTTACATTCTTGCTTTCTGCTAATCATTCTGGAAAATACCTCATATTATAAAGTGTTATTTATTTACCTTTTCTGATAGCTTGAATTTAGTGATGTGGTACCTTCATTTGAGATATTTTTCTTTGCATCTTCTTCCCATTTTCTTCTAGTATAAGAACCACTACCACGTATTATGCTGGCTGAAGAATCCCTATTCTCTTTCTCTTCAATATCTGATGTACTGGCCAGCCGTCTTGGTATTGTAGGTGCCACATATGCAAGCCTGGTTGTTTTTGTATCTCTCTCCTGAAAGAATTTTTTGAAATAATATTTCAGTTACAACCAATTTAAAGTTTTATTTTTTAAAGAACCAATTTCCTTCGTGCAATATGTATATTCACTCTTAATATTTTCCATGATAAGTTTACAATTTCTTCCAATCAATTTTACAGAAGAGTAAGCAAAGTTCTTCATGAAATTTATCGAGGGACTGTGTATCTCATGCTCTTCCCCTAAAGTACCATCATCAGCTGCCCATGCTTCTAAACTGGACAATCAAGCCAGATTTTGAACAACAGAATTAATGTACCTAAATTTAACACTGGGTCCCAGAATAAGGAGAAAATAATATCAAAACATTTCAACCTTCTGGGACACTTCATTATAGATCTTCAAAGAAGCCAGTTTGGAACAAAGAAACTTAATCAGCATGAATGAGCACGAAACTGCTAAACTCACATGCTTCAAAAACTTCTGGACTCGGCGTGCGTGTTTTCTGTCTGTCTTGTCTATCAAATGTATATGACTATCTCAGAAGATCTCAATAAACACAATGAGTTTTAAACAAATTGCAACAGTTGATAGGATACTTGTTTTCTGCATCTGCATAACTAGTCTGTTTCTTTTCCCCTACTGCAATCCTAATTTAAATGCTACATCAATTTAGCTATTCCAGGCATTAGAGTAAGTGAGCTGTAGTTCAGAAAAGCTTACACCTTTTCATAAAATGAAAATTTTAAAAGACAGTACCAGACTCCTCCTGATTTATACTTTAAAATACTTATAAAATTAAAATCTAGAAAGCTGATTACTTGCTAAACCTAAACTACACCCTCAAACTTCTGAATAAGACTGTTTTATTACATTGAAAGAAATCATAAAAACTTTGTATGCGTATTAGTAACAAGATATCTGGGGAGAGATGGAAGAGATGTCACAATCTTTCTGCAAGACACAAATTTGCATATACTAGAATTAGAATTCTTGTATTGGCCAAGTGTGTTTGAACACGGAAGGAATTTGTCTTGGTGCAAATGCTCTCAGTATACATAAAAGAAAACATACTTTCAACAAGAGTCAAGAATCATAAGATACAATACTTAATAATAGTCATAGGGTACAATAAGCAATCAAATCATACTAGGAAACAGTCAATATAAATCGTAAGGATACAACCAACAAAGTTACAGTCATACAGTTACAAGTGGGAGGGTGTTAGGGTTACGTACCTAACTACGTTAGGTAACCTATGTTATTCCTAACAGAGGGGATGGGTGATAAGGAGTGATGAGAAGATTAATAGTAATAGTAGTGCAGACTTTGTAAATAGTTGGACAGTGTTGAGGGAATTATTTGTTTAGCAGAGTGATGGCGTTTGGGAAAAAACTGTCATTGTATCTAGTTGTTCTGATGTGCAGTGCTCTATAGCATCGTTTTGAGGGAAGGAGTTGAAACAGTTTATATCCAGGATGTGAGGGGTCTGTAAATATTTTCACAGTCCTCTTTTTGACTCGTGAAGCATACAGGTCCTCAATAGAAGGCAGTTTGGTAGCAGTTGTTTTTTCTGCAGTCCTAATTATCCTCTAAAGTCCGTGTCTATCCTGTACTAATCAAGAATCAAAGAAAAATACACAGAAAGATACTGGAAGCCCTGCTCGTCACTGAGGTTTTATGTTTCAAACTGACTTTACCATTCATGCCAGTAAAGACCTTAACCCATAAATTATGGGCATAAAAATATGGTCTGCATTTTCATAGTCTGGTTGTCTTTCAAACATGTACTGCTTTGGTTTGAAATCACTACCAAGAGTAACTTAATTAACAATAATTTAATTATGATGCAAATTTGGGAGGAAAAGTTACCTTGTCTTTGTTATCTAATGAAGATGACAATCTAGGGCTTGAAGCTGAACGTATAACACCTGTTGAATCTTTTTCTTTCTGAGTTTCTTTGCTAGCTGTAATTTCTGCCAGAGCCCCATAACTGCCAGTCTTTCGAAGACCCAATCTCCAAGAAGCAGGAGACTCATCTTTTCGTTCTTCTTCTTTGGGAGAAATCTTAGTTGAAGTTGGAAACTGCAAAACACAGAGTTGCTTTTTTATAAGCTTGCTTCCAAGCATCCACTGTGCAGTCAAACATTTAAGAAGGGACATGCACAGACCAGAAAACAAGACATTCTAGAATCTCAACAACAATAACAGGTTTTCTGCTCTGTTCACTGACAAGTATACATAAATCAGAGAAATAGCATCATTCTGCTTAATTACATTGCAACCATCTTTAATACCAAAACAAAGAATATTGGATAAAATATAAGTTTCTGTGTTACACAATGAAGGTATGATACACAATCACACAATGCACACTTAGAGAACAGAAGTTCAGGCAAGCAACTATATTTTTTGCTTTGTGGAGATTATGAAGATTAGAACTCTGCCTTGTTCAAACCACATTTACACAACATGGATGCTATATTTAAGGAATATAGCAATTAATCTTTGCATTCTTCCACTTATCTTTATAAAACCTTAAAGATGCAAAAATAAACATTACAGATGACCATCAGAGGATCATATACAATAACTATGTGAAGCCTGGTTCAAAATTACATAAAATTGGTTTCCATATAGATTATCTGGAAACTAATTCTAGCAAGCCTCCTTAAAAAAAGGGGGAAAAAACCTATTAAAAAATTATTCTGTTGTATAGTGCAGTGTTGGTGTGGTATCGGGGGTTTCCGGTTCAATGTGTGAACGGTGAAGGATGTGTGTTTGTGTTTATTTTCATGGTCATAGTCATGATGTGCACTGAAGATGGTGTTTGTTTTTGTTGTACGAGGTGCAATGACAATAAAGTAATCTAAAAACTAAAAAAAAACTCTTTAAAATGTTCTGCTACCCAGGACACTGTTCCCCATCCAAGGAATGCTTTCCAAATAATGCAATAGTGAAAAATGTATCATCTTCAAAAGTATTGCTTTGTTAATACTCTTATCCTCCTTCCAAAAATGAAAGGCAGGATTCCTTCCTGGCCAATCAGCAGCAATGAAAAAGTTTAATGATTAAAGTATAACTATGAAGATGCTGGATCTCCTTTGTCCAATAATATTGCAATATTGGCTGGATTCATACATTGCACTGAACTATGATTATGATGTATCATAGTCCGTGAGTAAAATGCAGGGGTCTGGACTGCAACAGTGCAAAACATTAAACCATTAATGTGGCTTCGCATAGTGTATGAATGCAATATTTCTGGTAGTCCATAGAATAATTTGTTTGATGCTTTATTTTATAACAAAAATATTTATTTTAAGCTGAGAAAATAAGGTCAAATAATGGGGATGAATGCAAACAATAATTGCTTCTGTCAAAGTTCAAGAATTTGACCTTTCTTTGGGTCTATAAACAGGTCACATAAGACACTCTAATTTTCAATCAATTTAATTCTATAATTCTGTGCTTTATGGAGTTTTTTTCAAATACATATTTTATATTTCTGGAGAAGAAAGAAAAGCTTCATACCATTGCCTGAGCAAGTTAAATTTTCAAAATAACTATTTTTTTCCCCAAAGGTTAGCTTTAAATGTTGCACTATGAATACATACTTGCCATGATTCAAAATAACACTGTTTAAAATCATGCAATTATAATGTCAACATTTGAATTAGCAGTTGTTATTTGGCAACTTGGAAAAAGAAGCTAAACATACAATGCCCTCACCAGAGACTTTTCACCTTTACTTGGCACAAGAATAATGCCAGTTCTATGTAAGCCCTGCCTCCATGATGTAGGATTTACAGAGTCCATCACAGGCATGAGAGGAGAGGGAGAGTCATACTAAAGCCAATTGGAAGAAGACACACAAAAGAGATATAAAGATTGAAGGAAAAAAATGGTGTTTGCCTTAAAAGAGTTGTAGAAGAAAATTGATACTCATTTTCTTTTTCTGTTTTCTTTTTCACTAAATATCACCACTACTTGATCAAGTTAACAGAGGCGTGGATAAAAGTTCCCTTAGTATTGCAACTAGATGTGGAAATAGTTGAATCCTACTGCTATGTTATATATTAGCTAACATAATTTATGCTTTTCCATATTCACATAATATATAGAAAAGTACTGATGTGTTATGTTCTGAATCTAAACCCAAAAGATGCTTCAGATTATATGTATCAGCACCTCATTAAGAAATATACAATAGCTGTGCTTCCCAAGAAAATAAGTGTTCAGTGTAAGAAAGTGACAAAACAATGTAAGTTTCAGAAAAGGTGTGAACATGCTTCCTTTGCTTAAAAATATTTTCCCTTGGACTGCAAAGTTATCATACAAGTGCAGATAGACACATCTTCTTTACAGAAATGCCAAGAGATGCGGTAAGCACGCTAAGAAATGCTCTGAAACATATTTTCAGCTTCAAATCTGAAGCACACCATATTCCTAGAGAGTTATTGCAATTTGCTGAGACCATTAGTAAAGGCTATCAGGAATTCTTACTCATTAGAGTTTTTCTTTTCTTTTCAGGTGTTCTCAAATCTACTGACAGTTTTAACTAATTCTCTAAATTGATCTCTAAATTGAGCAGGCTGAGAACTGACACAGTAGTTTTCATACCCAGCATCTAACAAATCTTCCTTTGTATTTGGACAAAGGAAATTAAGGAAAACCAAGGATTGTATGTTAGACTGGGAAACTAAAAAATATTATAGAAAGAAATGGTAACTATTTCTTAATTATTGCCAATGCATATAGCACAGTAAAAAGCAGTGTTCAGCCCAATTTATAGCATTTAAGATTTCATTTTTTTTATAGTTGGTAAGTAATTCAAATTCTTGTTCTTCAACATATAAGCAATATGAAAGCTACATATTTGTTTATGGCAAAAGTATGTGAACCTCCAGGATTATAAATTAGTTCATAGGGAAAATTAGAATCACTCAGATCTTTACATTTTTGTGGAAAAGTGATTACAGGACCTCCAAAATATTGTTGCTAATGCTCTTAATGCTAGAAAAATCTAACAGTCCACTGTTAGGCAGATGGTAAAAATGGAGATAATTCAGCAGCACTGTCATCCTTTCCTAGAGTGGTTGATCAACCAAGATCACACCAAGAGTAAGGTCTTAAAGGTAACATCTAAGGAACTAACGGCCTCTCTTGCATTGGCAAATATTAGTGTTTGTGAGACCACTATCAGGAAGATACTGAGCAATAATAATGTGCATGGTAGGATTGCAAGGAGAAAGTTATTACTCTCCAAAAAGCACATGGCTGCCTATCTACACTTTGCAAAAGACTACATGGCTGAGCCAAATGGCTATTGGAAGAATGCTATATGGGTGGATGAGACCAAAATAAAGTTCTTGGCTTGAATGAAAAGCATTACATTTGGCAAAAGACAAATCACTGCATTCCAACATAAGATCCTTATCCCGTGTGTCAAACACATAGTAGTGGTGGTATCATAATTTGGGAGAGCTTTTCTGCCTCTGGAGCAGGACAACTTGCCCTCAATTATAGAACTGTGGGTTATGAAATGTTTCAGCATATTCTATAGGCAAATGTCAGCATAACTGTCCATAAATTGAAGCTCAAGAGAAAGTGGGTCATGAAGCAACATAACAATCCAAAGCATAGGAGTCGTACGACCAAAGAATGGTTAAAGCAGAAGAAAGTTTGGAATGGGTAAGTCAAACTCCTGACTGTAATCCTATAAAAATGTTGTGGAAGGACCTTAAGGAGGCAGTTTATATGAGGAACCCCACCACCATCCCTGAGTTAAAGCTGTTCTGTAAGGAAAAAATCAGCTACAATTCCTCCAAGCTGACTTTAGGACTGATCAACAGTTTTCAGAAATGTTTACTTGCAATTATTGCTGCTCCAGGGGGACATATCAGTTACTGAAAGAAATGATTCACATACTTTTTACCATTCACAAATATATAGCATTGAGTCATTTTCTTCAATATTATTTTCAGTATTATTACTTTTGACTCTTTTGTTTAACAAGGTTTCTTTTACCTAGTTGTAGGACAAACCATTTTAGATCATTGTTTTTAAAAAAAAAAATTGACAATCCAAAAGGGTTCACAAACTTTTAAGCACAACTGTATACATTAGGCACCAAAATTTCCCCTGAACTTATGTGTACACATTCTTCACATATAGCACATGTTTATTTAAACATTGCCACTGCACAGGAACATTGCCACCATCATTGTCCACCTAAGTGATTCTTCTGAAGACGATTGCTTCCCAGTTGCTAAAGGGAGTGAAGAAGCATCAACACTAAGAATGGAGACTCTTCCATCCAATAATCTGTTCCAGGCTCCTGCTTTTCTACTACTTTGAAACAGAAAAGTAACAGATCTGCTTCCTGACAAAAAAAAAAAAAAAAAGCCAGGGCCTACTGTAGGCCTATGAGTTATGGATTACTTTACTTGACAGTGACAATTCAACAATACTTGGTATTTCTTCTCTCAATGGAAGTCAAGGCTTCCCAACAGGAAAGTGGGAAGTGTTGGCACTGCAACTCCCAGAATTAATTTGAGGAGCTATGATATCCGCAAATTCTGGCAGCTGCAGTTACTAATACACTTGTAGGTGCCAGATTGGGCAAAGTGTCTTATATCATCAGACTGAAAAAAATGATTAAAATTTTGCTTTTTGAATAGATATGTAATTACATATAGTTAAATGTTAGTACTAGTAAGTGAATAAAAGCATATGTTACCTTTTTAAGAGGGGATGTAGGTGTTACTTGACCAGTAGGAACAGATGGTGTTGTTACAACAATTGAAGAAGCTTGCACATTGGTAGTACTTGAGTTATTGACTGTAGATTTGTTCTTTTCTATAAAAAAATCATTCACAGTTTATATAATATAAATGTTGTACTGTCTGTAGCTATCCCATTCTCTCAAAAGGCATTTGTTTAAACCTCAAAACGAAAGAGTTAATTTTGTTAAGAAATTTATTTCTAATTATTGTAACTACTCATAAAATTATCAACAAATAGTATTTATGACAAATTTTCATGGTTCTGGCCATCCCTGCCATCACAAAATTGTAAGCCAGTGCTTGTTGCCCATCTCACAATTATGATGTTGCAACAAGCTATGGTCACATGATCATTATTTCTGATGTTCTCTGTCAGCTTCCCACAAAAATGAGAGAAGCCAACAGGAATCTAGAAGTTGTGGTCATGTTGGTTCTCACTTAACAACCTGCATAAACTTTGTTTAATGATGGCAACCAGGACTGTTGGAATTGCTGCCACTAAACATGGTCATGTGACAGTGTACTTTTATAAAAAGTCATAAGCTATCATAAGTCACAGACTACTTGAAGTGGCTACTTTTAAACCAGAAAACAAGATTCCAACTTTCTTGCAAGTTGAGGAAGAGGAGAAAATTATGAGAGGAATACTCCCCACAGTATATTCTTATAGCAGAAAACTATATTTTGCTATTAAAAACTGATTAAAATATTATATCATTCCTAGTACTAATTAACAATTGAATGCAATAAGAAAAGTATTGTTTTAATTAATGTATTCATCTGCTAAGCTCTGAGTAGTGGACGGATATTTACAATAAGCATTTAAGATAATAATACAAAAATGATAAAATACAGTGCACAAAAAATAGTGCAAAAGTCTATAAACACAAGAATAAATGTCTAGAAACAAGAATGAGGGAATATGTAAATATGTAAATATACCATGGAGAAGATTGAAATGTAAGAATAAAATATATTGATTTATAGTAAGAGTAAGATGTAATGGTAAAGGAATAAGTAAATACATATACTGAAAAATGTGAGGAGATGCAAAAGATGTCTTGATGTTGATAATAATGTATAAAGTTTTATTTTATGTTTTTAAAATTTGGAAACTTAATAAAATTTATTTTAAAAAAGAATCTTAATGTACTATTTTAATGCTTTTTAATAATCTCCAGATATCATCAAATATCAGTAATGGAATTCATAGTTTTCATGAGCTGCAAAAACATGACTGGAAACAATTTATGCTCCACAAATCATGGTTGTCAATCTCTGATGTGAGAGTCGGGCAAAGTGGAATGTGACTCTCAATTCCAAATGCAACAGTTGAGAAGGCACTCTTTCATGTTTTACAATTCTTAACAAAGACATCCAGAAAAATAATTGACTATATGGGATATAATTATATACAATATGTCAATATATAACGGTAAATATATTTTAATAACTAAGCAAGTATTCAACAAATTGAAGTACAATCTAGTCTCAGTGAATGGATACTGAATCACATTAGAGGAGAGTGAAAACCTGACAATTAGGGAGTTACTTTTTCATGTTCTGCACATTTAAAAAAAAAAATATTCCCAGTGCTTTTCATTTAAAAATGAAATATTGATGTATTGAATCCTGTCTATACACATATTATGCAAAAGAGATAGTACAGTAGGCCTCTAATCCATCTAGAATCTTTTTCCAAGTACCAGTACTTACAATAGACCTCTGAATCTACCTTATAATAAATAATTGGAAGAAAAAAGAAAGTACAAGTTTGGAACATAGAGATTCAGCTTCAGGGAAAAGTTAAGTTCTCTAGCATGCCAAATAAAGTATGATGAAAGTCCTGTTGATATTTTAAAATCTCCAAGTTTACATAAATTAATTCTTGTGTCACAGTCATATTTTCCTGGCACAAGACTGCATAGTAGGAACAAAGAAAACACAGCAATGAAAGTCATGTAACTCAAGAAATGCTGAAGTGATGACTCTGAACCTTTAAGTCATTCATATGTATAGTTCATCAAGATTTTCAATATTATATTACTATAATTAAGTGAACTAAAAGTATATCTTTCTGGTTTGTTATTTTAAAATTTAAGATTGTTCTACACAGCAAAATCATAAATGAATTTTGTAGAAGTTTACAAGGTTGAAATTGTTCTGCCACAACAAAAGTTAATTTTCCAAAGCACAGCCTTAGCAAGAAATATCTCAAAGGCCAATTATGCATTACTTTTTAAATATTTTTTTAGCTATAGATTAATTACTAAACTGCTAGAAATAATTTTCTAAGCTAAGCTTTCAGTATATTCACTGCAAACTGCTTGTGTATTTTTAAAAAAATAGCATATCCAGTATTTTGTGTATACATTTGATAGATTATTCTTTATTATTAAGATTAAAAACAACTAATCAAGTTATTAGTCTACAAAATAAAGAAATGACCAATGTAATTTGCATAAATAGAGCACTTTGAAGCATATATTTCCCACATCCATTTGTTGAGACTTTCAACAAAATAATCTCAACATGCATCACCATTGCTCACTTATCTTTCAGGCCACATTTGACCTAAGTGATTTGAGACAGCAATTTTAAACAAGCTAACTTTAGCAATGCTACATGTTTTTGCAAAATCAATGCAACCCACTACTATAGAAGTCTCTTTATGATAATGTAAGTGCATGTAATCTTTGATTTTTCTACTCTTGCTGCAAGACTTCTTACTCATTTTGCTTTCATGTAATATAGCACCTTGTTTTTCATACAGTTATCTAGTTCCTAATTACCTATTTGTGAAGCCAATTGAGCTGTTCAAAAATTATGTAAAGATGTTTTAAGAACATGTAAAATGTAGTAAGATATAAAAAATGATCCATTCAGTATAAGCTTTATCTAAAAAATTAAAATCACTTAATGCCTTCCACCTGTCCCTCAGCATCATATTATTATGGCAGCAGCAAACATAAAACAAGGAAGAAACAAAAGTTACAATAAATTAAAATGAGATGAAAATAAATAAAAAGGTAACCAAAGTATTTTTCCACATTACCTGTTTCTGCTTCAGATTCTGAATCTTCTTCCTCATCTTCTTCACTAGAGCAACTGGATTCATCTTTTTTTCCTTCTTCCTCCTCATCACCCTTTTCTTGTTCTAAGGACTCAATGTTTGATGGATTCTTGTCTTGCTCAATGATCAAAGTATCTTTACTGGAACATTGATATTATAAATATTTATTTATTACTTTTAGGGGAAAAAACTAAATATCAGTTGATACTTTGTTTGATCCACGGCATATTCTAGTTCAAACTTGTGTAATCTTAATCTTTTTTTGCCCCTCTCCCAATGTTAGTTTTAGTTTAGCTACTTACTTTTTAAATGATTTTTGAGACTGATTATTGTCCATGTTTGCTGTTGTTTCAATTAAAGGTGATTTCTTCTCCTTCTTCTCACTATGAAGCTTTAACAGAAGTTAAAATACTTAATTAGATTTTTAATTATTACAAGTAAAATTTACTAGGAAAATTCCAGTATTATTAATTCAAAAAGTAAAATCCTTTAATCTTTCAAAACTAATTTTCAGCATAAAAAGCAACACTGACCTGAAGCAAACAAACTGTCCTAAAGCCATCTCCATCTCATAAAAATAAATAAAATAGAAAAAAGTAAAATAATGTCAGCTCACAACTAATACATAATTTTATTAAGCACTGCTTTAGAAAGGATCCAGAAGTATTGTTAAGAGAAACTACTATGAAAGTGAAGTTTTTGTGTTTGGTAGCAGTAGTAATATAACGATCTCTGTAACTTCAAAATAGCTAAGAACAGGCAGTTATTAGAAAATGGAGTCTTGGAAGTTAATATCCAACTCCCTGAGCAGAAACAGATCATATGTTGCTGTAGCTTAATATGGAGAAGGCACTTTCTTACTCACAGTGGTATATCGTAATAACTTACAATATGGGGCCACAAGCTATAGCTGACAGCTAAAGAAAGCTTTGGAAATAAGATGGACTAATGCTACTATGTTTAAACTTCTTCCTGATGTCTTGTAAAGCTAAAGGACCAAGCTGTGTTTCTCTTTTGAGAACAAGGAATAAATACAAACCTTTCCATGCTATTTGAAGTAGGAAGTAAATGTGGCCTCAGAAAGAAAAATACAGAAATCCAGATATATTTTTTTAGTAGCATGCTCAAAAGTCCAAAACATTACCAAGACATAAGTTTAGTATATGCAAAACATTCTGTGCAGTGGCTATTAAAATATTCTATTTAAACAGCTCTTAATTTGAACTCAATATGAACACGGATGTCCTTTTGTGTTAGTTCTATATATTCTAATATGAAGCTTCAAATTGGTTCACATTTTGTTCTTGCACACTGAAAGAGCTTACCATGTTTTGTTTCTTTTGAAGCTCTTCTAAATAGCCTAATATGTCTTCATCTGCTACATCAAATGCTGTTTGACCCTACAGAAGAGGAAAAAAACACAGATTATGGTGCAATTAAACTAATAACCACAAAGAGCAAGAATTTGTCAGCAGGAAATCTATTAAATCTGTTGGCTGTAGATGCCAATGTATCCTCAACTGGTTCTTGAAGTACCTGCCAAACTCCCTCGCACGATTTGAACCAAAAAAGAGAGTGAAAATTAGCAATCATGTTAACTGTAGCTCTGATCACAAAATCTTATAAAAGCCATGAATACATTCTAAAGAAATTAAAATCAGAGGTGCAGCTTAAAGCTTTGTTCTGAAACATCATCAGTTTTCCCATCGTCCACAAAGAAAATATATATATTGGCATAATCTGGGGATTCTGAGAAGGTGGCAGTCATGGCCAGGAGATTCTTTATACAACTTCAAATTGTCCACCAGTTTCACTCATTCCTGGACCAACATGCCCTTCACACCTATGCCTTGGTTTTATCTAGACAACTGTAATGTACTCTACATGGGGCTGCCTTTGAAGAATAGCCAGAAGCTTGAATTGATTCACAATGCTGCAGTCCAAACAGTTTTGTGCAAGCCTAGATTTGTGCATGTATCACGTCTTTTGTGGGAGCTACACTGGCTGCTGATCTGCTTCCTGGTACAGTTCAAGGTGCTGATTAGCACCTACATGGCTTTGGGCCAGGCTACTTGAAGGACTGGCTCTCCCTTCAAATCAAAACTTCATTATGGCCATCGACTAGCATAAGAGTAAAATACAAAGAATTATTAATTTTAAAAGCTAAAAATTCTTTAAAAAATCATATAAAAACATAAAAAACAATATATGGAAAACTAGATCTATGAATCCCTAATACAAAACTTAATTGCCTTTTCCCTATTACATACACCAGTCCAACAGGGTGGGAAACAGGATATGTCCCATTGATTAGGGATGTACATCTGGTAGATCCACAAAAAAGTGCCTTCTCAGTAACAGCACCTTCTCTATGGAACATTGTTCACCCTGAGATACAGTTGATCCCCATCCTCTTGCTTTTCGAATGGCCCTAAAAGCATGTCTTTGTCAGCAGTCCTGGGGACCACAAATGAAGATGGAGCCAATCAAGTGGCTGGTTTGCTTGTGTTGTTGTTTCTATGGGGGTCAAATAGAGATTTTTATGGGTTTTTATTATGTGGTGGATTTTTAAATGTTGCAAGTCTTCCAGAGTCACCTCTGTGTGAGTTGGGCAGCTATATAAATTTGTTAAACAAACAAACAAACTGGTGTTCTCAGATAGTTATTTCCTGAACCCACCCATATATATTGTGGCTGATCTATGTTCAGTGACATTAATGAATAAGTAGAAATAAGATGTGAGAATACAATAAAACTAAATGGCCTATTTGATCCAATAATAAATGAGAATAGGAAGTATCTGGTGAGTAAAAAAGGGTTGTTTTGAATACCTGGTTAAAACACAGATTACAAATGACCCAGGAATGAATAAAAACTTGATTTTATTGTATATGAAGAAATAATATTAGTGAAAGATACAAGAATAAAAGACACTACATTTCAGAAGACTATTATTTGGTAGCCTAATGAGTACATCTTTGGAAGCAAGAACATACAAGAAAAGAATAGAAAGCAGTAAGAGTATAAAATGAGTGCAGGAAGAGAAATTACAAAGGTGTTTCTTCCACTAGAATGAATGAAAGGTGGATGTAAGAAAAAAGGATGTCAAAACTACATGAATCAAGATGCAAAGAATATTATTGAATGCCATCGAAGCATAGGACATTTTGCTAAGAGGCAACATGAACAAGAATGCTTGTTTGAATTATGAAATGAAATAAATTTGAATAGTAAAATGATGAAGTGAAAGAATTCCTGAAAAAAATGTATATATAATTTTAACTGGGACTGTAGCAAAGTCACAAGTGAAAACTTAAAGTGTGGTAAAGCAAATACCATAAAATATTTGCATAAGTTTTAAGTTGCCTTAAAACCTTTTTAAAAAAATAACATAGGTTCAGCTTACTGTAGTTCAGATATACAGCTCAAATGTTAAGGAAACCATTAAATAATATCTTGGTTATAGTTAGAAGCTGTGAATTAAGTCAAATGGAAATCTTACCACTTTATTGACAGTTTCCATGTCACACAAGTTTTCAACTAGTATTCGACATGCTTCTTCTTTTCCCCAATGAGCAGCTGCATGAAGTGGTGTCCATCCATCATAATCTTTAATATTTACATCATACCCAGCTTGTATTAACAGCCTATTAAGTTAGAACAGGTAATATGACTGAACTAAAAGATTTTAAGTGTTTCAAGAAATACTACAAGGAGGACATTTGCAGATCACTGTACATTCATATTCAGAATTGTGTCAAAAACTGCCCTCTCAATCACTTAGTATCATCGTCATCACTATTGTTTTCATTATTACTATTAATATTTTCATCGCAACTATCATACCCTACATTGCTATTATTATGAATACAGATTAGCCTCATTTAGTGACAGCAAATGGGACTGGCAACTTCATCGCTAAGTGGAAAATCACTTGGCTGCAACTATACTATCTTTTTCCCCCACTCAATCTCTGCAGTGCCAGGATAGTCAAAACTGACAAGCTAATCAGTTTGACACCTCTGACTTTTTTTTTGCTTCCTAACCACTCTCCCGCTCTTTGGAATGCTCACTTGGGCACTGGTATAAGTAGTAAGAATGAATTTTTGTTTATATTTACATTTAATGGAGAGGAAGAGATTAAAATGGGAAATACACATTGAAAGCAATTCACTGGCAGTCACAAACACACTCAACGAACAGTTAATACTCTCTGTCTTCCTTTCCAATCTCTTCATTCTTCAAGAAGAAGAGGGGGAAATGACTCAGGTAGAGACTGCCTACTGAAATATCTTGTATGGCCTCTCAAAGAGTGGAGAGATGGAGAGGAGAGGAAGGGATTATAAAAAGGTACATAGGGATTGCTTTCAATGTGTATTCCCCATTGTGACCTCATTTACTCTCTTGGAGTCACTTCCTTTCCAACATCTCTGGTCTGCATGGGAAGAAAAAAGTAAACAATAGGTAGGCATGGGATAACATATACTGACTAAAATGATGATCACAGAACTATGATAATCACATGACTGAGGGGTAGCACCTGTGGTAACTGAATGATAATTAAATTATGATCACTATCACCATATTATTGTTATTCATTTATCACTAGTAATATTATATTTATTACTGTCACTATTGTCATTATAATTTTTGGACGATCTGGGATTCCATACCATTCAAGGCATATACAAAAAGAGAAGCTCAAAGAACATGAGGCAGACCCATAAGAAGATGGAGAGACCATATCAAAGACACACTACAACATCAATTAACAATGATTGAGGCTGCTAGAAGAGCAAGAGCCAGAACTTTCTATCTCCCTCGACACTCAAAATAGAAAAAAAGGAACTAAAGACTGTCTTCATTATTAGTACTATTTGCTGGTTTTTTATTTGCTTGTGATTCTCTGCTTATTGCTACATTTGCATATAAATAATAGTTGCAGAAAAAAGAAACTGCAGCATTTCTAATTGCTTAGCTATTTTTTATATATGCCAAAAGTGAAAATAAACTAGAATGTAAAGTCTTATAAAGATTTGTGGCAAAAAGAATAATTTGAGAGTGTTAATATGAACTTCTCAGATTTGTCACAAACAATGAAATTGTATGCTATCACTGAACTTAAGTAGAAAATCACAAATTGCATCACATACATTGCAGATTCACTTAATTTAGAGTGAAAACAAGGGAGGATGGATTCTGATAACTCCACAAATATCTAAGAAAATGGAAGAATAGATATGACCTGAATATTGTCTTGCCCTTCCTTGGTCCACAATTTTAAGCTATTGTGAAGCATTAATAGAGTATGCTAATTGATACCTCATACCCAACTTTCAAGATATTACACTAACAATTAAGAATGAATGAATGAACATATTCATTCATTCTTGACTTGATATGTGGTTAATATTTCAGCATTGACTGATTATTTGTAATGATTAGGAAAGCATTTAAAACCATATATGTAAATCTAAGCGTTCATAGCAAATTTTAAATGTGAAATCTGAATCCATTCAGAAGCTCAACTTACTTTAAGACTTCCGTATACCCTTTAGCAGCAGCTACATGAAGAGCTGTACCACCAGATTTTGCATGCCGAACATCATTTATATGACCACTATTAAGCCACTGTCTAGCATCCCTAAGCATTATTCGCTCTTCTTCTTTCCGAGCTGCCTCTATATCAACCCCTAAAAAAACAGAAATATATTCATTTTAAAACCTATACACTTATTATTTAAACTGCATAAAATTCATCAACCTCTAAACAAAACATTGGACAATTCCCATCCAGTTCTATCTATTCTGTAGAAGTGATCACCCTCAACATTTTGGTTGCAGTTTGAGGCAGAAAACAAAGTTCACACAAATATCATTCTCTAAAAAGGTAGGTATTATATAGACAATTACATTTTTAAAATGCAATATAGGATCTCGTTCAACAAGCTGGACTAGGTCAAGATACTTAATAACAAGGTGAGGCAGAATTACAAACTGGAGATACAAGCTGAGGTCAATTTTCTAACACATTGTCCAGACAAATATGCATTTAATGTAGGTAACAAGACTTGTACAGTCTAAGATCCAAAGTAAGATTTGCAATGTCAGTAGTTTCCATGTTAGCAATTAGTTTCTTATAGATCTGTTTTCCAAGATCTTAATTTCTTTTAACATAAAGACTTGGAAACTTCAACGTTTCCTTTCATGTACTCATCCACCATGAGCTTATTATTTCTGAAGCTAAAAATTTAAAAACTAGTAGCAGTAGCCTCTGCCTCCCTTGTCACTCCCTTTTTTCGAAACATGCATTTTCTTTCTAAACCTCTTTTTATTAAACATTGGACATTACTGAAGCTGTATATAAAACATTGAATTAGCTTTTTGATCTTGCATTAATATGTCCATCTAATTATTATGTTTACAGGTAAAATACAAATGTATAATAAATATCACGTTTAAAATTACCTAATTACTTCATAAAGATTAAAAAGCCAGAACAGAACAGCAGTCAATCTTAGGATATAAAGGAAAATAGCTAGAAAAATGCACATAAATAGATATTGCAGCTTCAAAAATAAATCAAACCATTGAATATTGCTAAGTTTCTTCATTTATTTATTAGGTCTCAGAACTAAATAAAAACAATTAAAAGAAATACTTTTTCCAATGGTCCACATACTTTGCATGTTAATTTGGTAGTCAGATTAATCTTTCTTACTAATGGACTAAAATAGGAAACCAGTTCAGGTTGTATCCAATGGTGCTTTACGGTTTTAATTGCCAGGATGTTAAAACATCACTTTAATATGTCAAAATGCAATAGACAATTCACGGTGACATTACATTTTTACCTCAGATCAAAACATTGTTATCTCTTATATCAAATCATAAAAGACTGTAATATTCTCCACTATTTCAAGCACCATTATTCTATTTATATATAAGATGTATTTAAATAAGCAAAAATAAGCAAGGCTCTAAAATCCCACTTACAGTACTGGTAAAAATGATGGCATTGACTCTTATAGATTATATTTGTGGGAAACTGGCATGTTTTAATATCTAAAGTTCAAAGATTTCTCAAACTGACACATTTTATTAAACTATTTTAAATGAAATTATGTTTATATTTGTCATGTCTTCAAAACAATTGTTTTGGTTTCCCACTTATTATATTTGGATGGATATTATCATTATGTGATACAGTATTGGGAATGCTCCACATCAAATGCTGCTAGCAAACATGCTATGCTGCCTTCAGAGCTGAAGTGGTTCTTTTACTGTCATTTAGATTAGAAGCGCACAGCTAAAAGCCCCAGCATTACAGTTCTTCCCACCAGAAAATCTTTAGTTTGGCCATAACAGAGTTCTGTAAGTTATTATCACAGTAATTTTTATGTGACAGAAAGGAATATTTTAAAATATTGAATTTTAATTAAATGATCAGATTATGCTCAAAACACTAAACATAGTCCCAACTATTAAAGAATTGTATACAGTTTTCCTATTTTACTCAATACAAACATGTATTGTAATGTCAATAATCAATCTGAAATATTGTGTATTTTTCCTCAGTGTTTTATCTTAAAAAATACTGACTGCAATTCAATCATTTTTTTTTAATGTTAGAAGATAAATGTCAATGGCTAAGCTCCCATTTTATCAACCAGGCTGGGGGAAAATCATTTAATTTCCAAATTTTAAAATACTTTGCTATCTGGAACACGAACATAGTTTTTCAAAGTATTTTTCTTACATACTGTTATATCCCAAAGGGAAAAGAAGCCTACATTCAACATCGCCTTTCTCTACACCTCCACCAAAATATACAAATAAAAATGCTATGTTAATTCATAGTTCCTCTACAAAATTAAAACCTCTAGAAAAGATATCCAAGTGATACACTTGAATATATATGTATATATTATATGTATATGTATTTTATATGTACAAGAATATATGTGTGTGTACATGTATATATATTTATATGTGTATGTATGTATGTATGTATGTATGTATGTATGTATGTATGTATGTATGTA